ACAGATTTTCCAAAGACAAAATACAAGTTGGCCAACTGTTTTTCTTAGATTTATAGATTAGGAAAACAATGAATTGTTTCTAGAGTGATTGTTTCTAGAGCTTCATTCTCATATATGTACTGTATGGAATGAAGAATGAATGGTCCACCTACCTGTTTCCAATTTGCATGGCCTTAAGCATCGTCTTTTTCTTCGTCCCAACTCAGGCCAACCATTTGCACACCCCGCTGCATTGATCTTCTCAATGTAGAATGGGTTGACCTTTCTTGCTCTGTCCCCCTTGAGGTATCCACATAAATACCTGACCGGCTGGGTGCTTTAATTAACCACACAGATAATTAACTCATTTAAACCAAGTTTATTAGGTACACTTACTATTGGCCATTTTTATCAGAAAACCCTGCCATTTCTGTGCACTCTGTAGGTTTAGTTACAGACTGTAGCTCAACTATTGCTGCAGAATTTATCAGGCCCCTTGTACCAACAGAAAGGGACCTCCACAGGAAAACCAATGACCATGAACACTGACCAGCCACTTCATTAAGTACACTTCATTGTATTTACATTCGTTGGGCCTAATTCACTAATATCATTATAAGCTGTTTCATAAATTAGTTCTTGAGAAAGGTCCTAAGAAAAAGTGTGTAGATTCTGTTCTTACCTAAGAACATGTACCATATAAGAAAACACTGGCGAATTTTAGAATCTTAGTGAAAACTGCCTAAATGGGTTTTAAGACATTTCTTCTTAAGAACAGTTGGTGAATGAGGCCCAGTGTTCTTATCAGTGCCACCGACCATATAGGTGCACTTTGTAGTTCTACAATTACAGACTAGTCCATCTGTTTCTCTGCATACTTTGTTTGCTCCCTTTTAGTTTTAAGGTGTAGGGGTGATTTGTCTATAAAAACCTACAGTATTTACAGGTCCAACTCATTCACTAACAGATCAAAAACCTACAAGAAAAAAAAAAAACAGAAAAAAGGATATAATTTGCACGACAGAAAAATCTATTTTCTAATAGCTTGATTTATGCCGAACAATAGCATGGATTAATAAATATCTTCAGCCAGCAGCAATATATGAAGAGCTTAAACTGCGGTTAATAAAGCATTTACATGCACAGTAGTGATCCTATATCCTGATAAATATGACATTATACACTATCGTTACACACACCGCACCCTAGTGCTGTGAGGACGTCAGTGGAACCAAGGCCTGCAGTGCCTGCCGAGTGAGGAGGTACTAACGTTAGTCAGCTCACAGTAGGTGAAACATATGTACACTCAGAGATTTCTATGTACATGGCTTCAAATTTAAGCACTCTGTTCAAATGCGTTGCGGCTATTATCTGTAAATTATACATAAAGGGCAAAATATTAAGACTGCACAGTCGCTAGCTAACCTAAGTTTATAGCGGGCTAATCTGCTCAAAGTTACAATGCTGCTAGCAAGACTGAGAGTGAAAAATGGACACGATATGCGTAAAAATTATATTACACACAGTTAGGCGCATTAACCAGCACTGCGTGCTTTGCGTGAAACCAAAACTCTTACTTATGAGCAGTCAAAGACACGGTTACCCCTCAGCTTCGCTGACGTTTACAACCGCCATCTCTCTCTCTCTCTCTCTCTCTCTCTCTCTCTCTTCTCCACAGCAAAACAACAGGATAGCATCTGGACTAAGGCAGTGAATAATTCCTCAAAAATTCTTCAGGTTAATACTATACTATTATTTATTTACACTCACAACTTAAAAAAGACAGATAAATTAATCTAAAAGTTGAAACTGGTAACTCCATTCTACTCCAGGTCAAGGCGCCTTTGATGTCAATTTTTCTGACAAGTTTCTTTAGTTTTGACAAAGGAAAAACTTTATTTGAAAACACACATTATCATCTCCAGAGTCACCAAAATGCAAAATTCATTTTTTACCTTGTAACTTCACAGCTGTGTCAGCTGGAATGACATTGCAAACTCACTTAACTGTTAAGATAAGTTTGTTTTTTGCAGTCGTCCATAAATAAATCTGAGCTTCACCATGACCTTGTAAATACAGACATGCCAAACGTCATATGACAGGAACTAGTGACATGTAGGACCCCCTCTAGCCCAGCAACTCAGCGTGTCATTGATTCCACAAGTGGACAGATGACATCTGGAGGGATGTTGAGCCATGCTGTCTGGATAGCCACCCACAGCGCTGTGGTGTTTGTAGGTCCAGGATTTCTAGTGCGAATGGACCTCTCCACCACATCCCATAAATGCTTGATTGGGGCAAACGTGCAGGCCACATAATTCGCCGGAACTCTCCAGAATGCTCCTCAAACTAATTCTGGACAACTTGGGCCCAATGGCACGGTGCATTATCCTGCTGGAATATCCCATCATTGTGGGGGTACATGAAGTCCATGAGGGGCTGCAATTGGTGATCAAGCAGTGAAACGATCAGTGGCGAGTTTAGCCAGACCAGGGGATCCAACCAATGCCATGAGAACACACCCCATATCAGTATGGAACCACCACCAGCTCACACAGTGCCTTGTTGACAACTGGTGTCCATGGCTTCACGGGGTCTGCGCCACACACAAACCCTACCATCAGCCCAAAACAGTGGGTACTGTGACTCATCAGACCACACCACATGTTGCCAGTCCTCTAGGGTCCAGTTAGCAACCTCACAAGCCCAGGCGAGGCACTGTGTCCGGTGTTGCGGTGTTAACAGAGGCACTCTGATGGGTCTGCTCCCGTATCCCATGGAAGCTAAAGAACGCTGCACTGACCTGCAGGATATGCGTGTGAAGCCTCCTGCATTGTACCACAGTGTTACGCTAGCTGTGACTGGTCTAGACAGTTTGTTCTACCTCTAAATATCATAGTCCAATCAGCATCAAGTTATGTTCTGTACAGTACCACCCCTTTTGGGGCGACTTCAGTCTGGTTGAAAATCGGCCAGATTGCTCTAATAGAGTCTCATATTTAGGCAATTTATTTAGAAATGTAGGCACTGCAACGCAATCTGTATGAGTTCCAGGAGATCTAACACTGACATGCTTTCATTATACATAACCTGGGCTGCTTTCAGCCTTGACAAAATGTAACAAACCTTTACTTAAATGGAAATGGTGGTGCATTGAATTGCAACTATAGCTGTGAAAGCCATTTTTCTCATTTTATTTCAAAGAATTTTCAGAGAATGGTGAAATGGGTTTAAATATGCGTTTATCGCTTAAAAATGTGTCTTCCAAAGTCTTCAGTAGTTGTGTACACCAAGCTGCAGTGGCCACATTTATAGAGGACTTTATTAGAAAGCATTGTCACACCTTTTTGATAAAACATTTCATTCAACCCAGGAATCGTAGCACAATGATCTGACATTGAATGTACCCCTGGTGCAGGGATAACTGGGGCAGCTAGTGATCTAGTTCCATCTAGTGGTTAGCATGTAATGTGTAAGTACAACTAGGCTATGCCTACATTCATTTGTTTAATCAGAACACAACTAGCTACAAAATAAATGTTCAAGATTTGCTGCACCTAAAATAGACTGTTATCTGATGAAGACTGAATTAAATTATTGTGACTGAAGACTTTACTCAATTTTATTTGATTAATGGTAAAGCTGGCCTCTACATGTTCAAAAGGTATTTGTGAGGGCAAACTGATAACAATGTTGATGACCACAGTTGATTGTTCAGTCATTGTAGAGCCAAATTCATTTTATTCAAGAAGACCTACAATGAAATCCTGGATACAGCTGTCCACAATTGCTGTACAGTATGTAGCTGAAAGAGAAATCTTTGTTTATATGGTCATTTACTGGTAGCTTGTGGTATGGTGGTGTTGCTACACTTTAATTTAACATCTAACTACACAAATTTATTCCCTTATTTGGGAGGTGATGAATTAATTAATAAATAAAATTAAATCTTAAATTTAATCTGGCACTGTCAACCTTTTTCCTCCTAACTAGGCCGCAACATTTTGTACTTGGGATTATATCTTGTTTTGGGTTACTCTTTCTTCTCATTTAACTACCCCATCAAATCAAGCACCTGAAAAATCAAGGCCAGATTTCTGGTTAATTTCAGACTCTCCATAACATTCTAAAGAGACCTAGACACAATTCTCACTGTGATGTCAGCTCACAACTTTATTTGCTGAAATGAGATACACCTACTATACACCAAAATGAAATTCTCATTGGGCACCTTATTCCTCTTTGTTGGAGGATGAGGAATTAGCTCAGGCACAGGCCCCAAGCACAACAGAAAAATATGTTCAGTGTTTATTGTGAATTGCTTACATTACATGTCCATTTGCTACTGAGAAAAACGGAACAGAAAAGATTACATTTGAAACTACTAAATTAAATGATAAGAACAGCATAAGCTGACATTATCAAGAATATCACTTATCAAGAACATCGCACTCTTCTCAGGCGTCCCATATAAGAATCTATGTAACGATCAGAAAATACATGTGTAAGTTCTAGAAGAAGTAGGTCTGAGCAGGGTGGGCAGAATACAATCTATTTGTTTAATCTGGTAAACAATGAAACTTGCATAATTCTAATAATACACTAGTTTTTAAACTTTCTACACTTCTTAAATAATGATGTACTATTAGCTACATGTTTTAAAGTATTAAAATGTTCTCAGTTTTATTTTTGATGAAACTCAGTCAGGCTTTATGTTGAAAGGCTAATTCCTAACAACATTAGATTAGCGATTGATTTGATAGAGCACGAGTCCTTTGATTTTTACAAAGCATTCGACTGTTTAGAGAATTATTTTTCTGAAGTATTAAAACAGTTAGCAAATGCCATTCAGACATCATATAAGAACAAGTAAGTAACATGTCCAACAAGCTCCAATATGGTACCACTTATAGGTTCAATATTGGCACAGGCATCAACAACAAGGTTGTCCAATGTCTCCATTTCTTTTTCTTTTGCCAACGCTGCATTTAGCCTTAGAGTAATTACACTGGAGTCATATATACTGACAAAAAGGCTGTTTTTATTAGCATGACACAACTTGGTTTTACAAAGTAAGCAACAAATTGTATGTGCATTGTTATTAAGATATTGTCTGATGCATCTGGTCTATGCCTTAATAAGTGTGAGCTAAGTCTGCCACTGAAATTTGCCTAGGTAAACAATACAAGTTGAGCTGAGCAGCACATATGTTGTTTGAAGTTCCTCTTTATTTCAATGAAAAACAAACAAAGAATCTTATTCCATTACCTCTGATTTAAGACAAACAAAACAAACATCTAAGGCTTTTTTCTGTGTCTTGTACTGTGAGGCTGCACAGTGAGTGCTCACACACAGGGGGAGAAGTACTCTGTCTCAGACTGGTCACCTGAATGAAAGAGTTGTTAAAATCAGTAAATAAAAGCAATACAATCACAGTAAAAGTGTAAGAATCATAAAGCCCAGGAAAATCTTACTTGTTTGGTAGTAATCATAAACTTTGATCACAGCTGGTTTGAGGTTCTTGACTGGAAGCACCTGCTTAAGATGTAGCCGATAATTCATAGGAGAATTCCTTGGGACCTGATGAACACACATCACATATTATAATTTAATAACAATAATTACTTTATTTATAGAGCACTTTTCATACTGGTGGCAGCTGAAAGTGCTTTATGGACAGTTGACAAAGGTTAACAGTAATAGAAGAAATTGATGAGTATTAAATTATATACACATGAAGCACAGCACAAATAAAAAAGAGAATAATTTTATTAAATCCTAAATCAAAGAAATTGATTTCCAAATGATTCATAAAAATATGTACTGAACTTGACTGAGTCATAAAAGGTGAAAATGGCAAGAAGTATAATAACAGAAAGAGGCCTCTCCACATTTTCTGTATTTTACAGAAGGTACTTGCAGAAGGCCAGTATCGGCAGATCTGAGATGACATGTTGGAACAGAAACATAAATAGTGTACTGTAAAAGTGCTTCATTATATCTATTCCTTTTGGGCTGTTTCTTGTGAAATGATAGGCTTGTTGTATTCCCAGTGTGGACATGCAAAAGGTTTTCCAATTTTATGAAACACGATTAAACACGATGAAAATCCTTTACTTTCTTAAAGCCTACCAGTAGATCAAAACAACGCACTGAAAGAACATGTTTATGAATGAATGATTTCTGTGTATGATTGTAAACAGTAACTGAGGAGTATTGAAGCCATGTCTTTTCTCTCACCTCTTTCATATACATGATAATATGGTCATCCTTAGAATCGACCCGTTCCACAAGTGGGTGGTGCTTTAGCTGTAGAAACAAGAGGATTACTTCATTAACATTTGAATGTAAGTAAACACTGCTACATACCAAAGAATTAGCATATATATATATATATATATATGTATATATATATATATATATATATATATATATATATATATATATATATATATAGCATACTACTTACATCACTGGCATCTGCTGTGAATCCTGATAAGATCTTTATATCCACTATGACCATGTTAGTGCTGTTTAATTCCCCTTCATAACTGAAATAAACAGACAAACAAACAAGCAAATTTTAGCCACTACTTATTTAGTCAATTTTCAAATACCGTTTTGACCAAACGGTAATGTACTACAATGTAAAATGACACACTGTGTCATTCATCATCAAATTAATGACATTAAATTGGGTGCCAGGTTGCTGCAGGCATTATTGGACATAGTTACCTTGTAGGAATGTTGCAGTCTTTAACTGTAATTATTTAGCAGATTCATTTATGCTGATGCATAATTCTTGTAATATTTACAGTTGGCATTAATTTTACATTATTTTTTTTTTCAGAATGGCATTATAGGCCCCACAAGTACCCAATGTACTTTTGTGCTGGCTTCAAGTACACATTGGATGCATTCTGTCTGTGTGTTATGTACAAAATCAGTGCAGTCATGCATGGAAAAATGCAAAATGCATTTCTCTCCCTCATGCATATGCATTTGAGGGAGAATCGTGCAGAATGTGGGAGGACCACATAGAAAGTGGGTGGAGATATTGGAAGTGCAGTTGACTACATATTTCTGACTAAAGTTTGAGCGATTTTCTCTGTAAATCTGAGTTGGAGTTGTCTTTATATCAAGCAGAGTGACTGATTTGACTATTTATCCATTTGGAAAAAGGATGTCAGTGTAACTTTCACGCTGCACCGCTCTGCAGCTCCATCAATGTATGTGTGAACAGCCAACGCATGCAAGCTGTAGCAGTCATGCAACATGCAAACAATGCAGAGGTTGTGTGTGTGAAACAGGCCTAAGTGTCTCAAAGGTCTGCTGTTAGGAAACTATATTCTGTGATGGCAGTGCACACATGCTGAAAGACCTTTTACGAACAGATTCAAAACTATTTCAACTCTCAAGATCAGATGTGCATGTATGAGACAGAGCACAAAATGCATCTTGATGTGGCCACAATATGCACTCACAGTCCTTGTTATTGTTTCCCAAATTCTATTTTTAAACTGGAATAGAATTTCACCCATGTAGAAGGATTTGGTGTAAAATAACAGTTCAGTTATAAATACTGCTATCTGTTCATCACTGAAGTTTAATTTTCTCTTCTGTCCTGGGCTTATTGATAGCTCCACTATTTCACTGCATCTTTTAAACCTTGCTTTCTCAGGGGCATGATTAGTAAGCAGGTCGGTGCACAGTCTGCATGAATACTTGCATACTGAGGGCCCATATTTTGCACCTGCACCTAAGGATGCACAATAACATTGGAATCATATTGACATCTACAGATAATTGCTTTAAAAAAAATATCAGGACCAGATAGATGTTTAGAGCTCACACATATTTCAAAACGATATATAATATGTATTTACTTCACTAGGGAAAACAGAATATTTAGGTGACTAAATGCTACTATGTCTACATATATTTTGCAATTGTAGTAAATTATATATTTCTGTATAACGCAGATACAATTAGACTTAGTCCCAATATTTTATTAATTTTATAGTTTATGCATCAGCACCAATAGGCATTGTCAGATATGTACACAAAAAAATTCTGGTTTTCAGCATCAGGCCCTCAAGTCCCATGTTGGTCCCTAGCTCATGCCTACATACCTAGCTCATCTGGCCCTAAAGGTTTTCAGAAAATCTAAATTTATCATTCAGTAGATTCCTCACATTAGGTATAAGTTGCTTGTTTTAAAATCACAAAAACATTCTTACGTGACTGTGAATTCAAGGGACAGAGCGTATCCAAATGATTTTGTGCAATTTCCCTCAGCCTTAGCCTTGACGCTCAATGTACTGGGTTCAGTAGGTGTGGGGATATTGTAGAAAAGTGCCACCTGCAGTTGGGGATAGAAGAGATCAAACCATAGAATCAGCAAACAAACATTTTTAATGTCTGAATTGACTGCAAATATACTTCCAAAACATATTTGTTCTGATCTGTTCTGATTTCTGAAATCATTTTCCAGATCTCATGACTTTGTATGGGACTGTATTTTTGATGCCAGACGTTTAAAGAATTTTTTGTCATCAAATGTTAACATTATTGTCTTTTTCATGAGTTGAGTTTCATATATACTAACCACCAGACATGACCTGAAAGTAATATGCCAGAGGTGGTAGGAATAAAAACAGTAAAATGATGATACATGATGCATCTTCTATGGCTTGTAGCTTCTATGGCTTGTAGCCATCATTAAAAGTAGAATGACACACCTGCAGATAAATGCTACCACCAGTATGTTTTAACAACGCTCTTGTTAAAGCTTGGTTGCTATTGTTGCTTACGGTTATCTCTAGGTGCAAATACTTTGATCAAGGTGCTTCTTAAAGGTTCCTATGGGATTTCTGGGTGCTAGACTTTTTGTGTGATTCAGTTTTAGGGCCAGTGGCAGAACTGGATTTCACCAAAGACCACTTCACTACCAATGATTATCTTAGCACATCTGGGAGAGCTGCATAGATCTCTCTGGAGTATTTCTAGATCTTGACCTGGTGAGTTTTCAGCCACTTGATCATTGCCCAGTATATACTCCCAGTTTAACAAAACTGATGTGGCCCATGGACTCCCCTAACAGAGTGCGCTCAGGAGAGCTACTGGTGGCTTAGCTTCACTCTAGGTTAGTCTCATTATTTCTCATGGATTTATTGGCATTTGTGATTCAGTTTGCTTTGCACCACCTCAGGAACATTACCAAACACTAGATGCAAAAAGCCTACTAGACACACTGACCTGCACAGACGCACAGGTGGAACCCTCCACTGAAATGCTGTATTTGCCAGGAACCTCCTGCAGTTGTTTCTCCTGGTACAATAACTTGTTGTTCTGGTTCACATCAAAGTGGTGACTCTCTTTATCTGACTTCACAGTTACTGTGCTGGAGCCATCAGAGCTGAACACTTTGGTGGAGTACAGAGCCAGAGCCTGGAGGGCCACCACTGTGTCCTGATCCAAACATAAAAAATCACTAGTAATTATACATTCACAAGACAACACGGATTTCTATATGCGTGTTTCAAGTGACCAAAACAGAAAGAGGTAGAAAAAGAGCTAAAATATATTTGAGTACCTGGGTGGAGGAGAAGCCTCCATAGGAATTCTGTTGCCTCACCAGCCAGCTGACAATCCTGTTAGCATAGCCCAAATCAGCAGCAGTGACTTCAGCTGTAGTGAGAACAGCTAGCAAAACATAGGAGCTGATCTCCACTGCCAAGGAGTCAGAGTCATCTGATGCAGACTGAGACCAGTGAAGGCGACCATCTACATTTAAAGACACCAGAGATATGATTAGGCCAAATAAGCTCAACAAGAAATGAGAGAGAAGTCATAACACAATGAGCTAAACACCAAAATATCATATTGGTCATGAACTATAAAACTCCATGATATAACCACGTTACCAGTATTCTCATCATTCCATACCTCCTGAAATAGCAACACTATCCAACTTCTTCAGCAGCTGCCCTCGAACATCATGCTCTCCAGCCAGACTGAAAGTGTAGGCCAGCAGTGCAGTGGCGTAGGTGTTTGTCAGGTTGCCAATAGAGGACTTTAGACATGATAACCCTTTACTCACAACAGGATCCTAAAAAAACAAAACAGATATTAGAGCAAAGAAGAAAATACACTGTTTTAGATGTTTCACATTGATACAAATTGCGTGGCATCATAGTATAAAATCACCTCCCCGCTTTGTAATTCACATGGACCTTTTCTAAAGGGTGACCTGGTGTACTGACCAATGCGTGGGCATGGCCGAATTGACACTGAGATAATGTCCTATTTGCGCAAGAATCACTGACAAAAAATGGAAATGGAATGTGTTAGGTCATTTGGACATTTACTTTATAAATTCTGAAGCTATGATGTACAGAGGTCATATGACTGCAGAGCTAGCATCACACTGAACATGCTGTCTAATAATTAAGACTTGATGTCAACCTGAAATCAAAAATGAGTGGTTAGTAATTAGTTTTTTTTCCTGGTCATATTAAGTGTCGTCATATCATATGAACATCATTGAAAAAAACAACAAGAAATGTCTTCTAATTCTTGATTACATCATCATGCTTCCCCCTCCAACCACCCCTACATATCATCAAACTAAATTGCTCAGCTAGCTCAGATACTCAGATAGCCCTAATACTGTGTTCCACCCAGCACATCATGATACAGAAAGAAAATGGATCAACTTTAACATTTTGACGCATTTTGCCCATCTTCCCTATAGAATTTATGTGGACATAACACAGGCTGGATTTAACAGAGGCTGTTCAGTGTCTTTACCTTGGCTGTATGGTCCAATTCAAGCAATGATGCAGTGATGTAAGCTGTTATGGTCACATCATCATTTACACCACCCTACAATACAATGGAATGTTACTCAAAATAGAAACCAGTTCATTTCATTTACTTAATACCTAAAAAGGACTTAGTATCTAATAACTCACCTTCATTCTGTTGTTGAACAGTCGTCCCCGTCTTATAAAACAGCCGTCTGGTCTCTGATTACTTATCAGCCATTTCTTTGCACTGTCAATGTTTTGTGGATCAATAAAGATGTAACGCTGTGCTTTGCCAAAAGTCCTCAGAACAAAAGCAGTTAACCTGGCAGGGGAGAAATCAATTGAGTATTTCATTCAAAATTTGTTTGTATAACAATTGTATAACAAGTTTCAACACAATATTGCTATCTATAACAGCTGACAATTATTAATTTAGTTTAGGTTTTCAAAGAAATTGTCTCTACTAGCTGCATGTGCTCTGAGAAGTTCTTACCATGTATTTCCCTCTCCGCTGCCAAATGTGCTGTATGCACCATCATGATGTTTGTAGTTTAGTTGCCTCTGATATCCTGTGAAAAGGAAAAATTTTTATCCTGGTTAGTTGAGGAAGGTCGTCTCATGATGCCTAGTGTCATCATGAATAGGTTCTTCATGAAGATAAGTTCTCTTACCGCTCTTAAGGAAACCTGTAGCTCTCTCACGGATGGCTGCAGTGAGCTGTCCAGTGTTCTCCAGGTACTGAAGAATGTAGATGTTGGGGGCGAGGAGAGCAATGTTTTGTTCTCCACAGCCATATGGCATCCTCAGCAATCCATCAATATTCTTCAGTGCACGGCCCAGTATGTCTCCTGCAAAAGAACACAATAATATTAGTTATTTATTCAGAAAATATGTTATTGCGCCTGGCCAAACATACATGAAATACAATCTAAACCACAGTACAAATATATTCAAGTAAGGCCCATCATGAATTCATTTAGTAAGTGACTTCTAGTGTGTCTGCTAATGTGTTGAGCTTCACTGCCACTAAATTGCTATGGCTCAAAGTCATCGTTTCCAGCCAATGTCCACTGCTATTGTGCCTTCAAGAACGACATTTGACCCTTTTGGGGGGTTGTCCCTATGGTAGCTTAGCCCCTTAAAATCCTAGGCTTATTACCTATTAAGGCTTATTATTCAGTAACTAAAGGAGTCCAATGCAAACTGGTTGAGCTATTCTTAGGTTTTAGAAGTGTGTAATAAAACTTGGGGCCTACTGGTGGGCCCTGACCTTTTAAAGGGTTAACATAAAATTTCTACAATTTCCCTATATCGAATTTCCTTAGCTTCCCAACTGTAAGCATCTTTGAGCATATTTACTAATATTATTCATGTTACAGACGTGTGAAAAAGTTTGGGCCCACCTGGTCAAATTACATGTTGTTGTTTTTCCATAGTTTAGTATTTGAGCATATTTAATATTTAATATTGTTCTGTAGAGAATGTATTAACTGATTTTCACTTAGAAAATCATATAATTTGACTAAGGGTGTTCAACTTCTGAATATGACTCTATGTATAAACAAATTAAATCAATTTTAGTGTTCTTCAGTGATGTGGAATAACATGATCGATCAGTGCCACCTCTTTATAGGGGACGCTGCTACAGGTTTTGCCCTTCATGCTACTTTTGTAGGCTACTGACACCATATCCACCAGCAAGCTGTAAGAATGACACTAATTAAGGTAAAAATGTTAAACTTTTCTCTTGCTTTGCACTGCTCGTTAATGGATGAAATGAAAGTACAAGCACATAGCATGACTTTCAAAGCTTGATATTTCTGATACCAAGCTTTTCTGAAATTGTTGGCAAAGGAACACCCTTGGCTCACTTCAGTCCCAATCAAATCAAATCAATTCATTTTCAAAATGAAGATGAATCAGTTCTTGGTAACAAGGTTAACCAGCTCATGTCATACATTTGAAATTTGTACATGACCCACATAGTGCTTAATTGTGTAAAAAGTGCAAAATTTTATGTCATTTTTAGTCACTGAAAAAAACATCCCTAATGTTTATCATGTAATCTTACCAAGCACTGAAACAGAAGCTCGTGCTGATCCCTCTATCACATCTGCAGGAAGAACCAGCTCCAGCTCCTCTGAAACACTGTTTCCTATGAATGAAACAGCCATATTTTCTGTGTTAATATCATCATTAATATCATATTAACTGGTTGAGAGAGTGTTCAGTGTGATGCTTGCTTTACAATTTAAGAATAATCTTTTTGCTTTAGGAAAACCCACCCTAGTCCAGTATCATGTGTGCTATAAGAACACTTGACTCATCAGTATGAAGAATAGATGTAACAAAGATATGAGGCAAAAAAATGAACTAGCACTGACCCTGTGGACATAGCAACCAACTCTGGCTCTTGGTCTTTTCAGTTCCTTCAGCCTACATGGGAAAATTGTATGATTAGGTCATAATAAGAACATGAACTACCTTCAGTTTGTATTTTCTGTTTTAAATAGTCCTACCTGTACAATCAGGCTCCGTGTGACTGTGTCAATGCGGCCTCTCTCAGGCACACTCACAATCTCATTGTCACACACAGCCTGTGACTGTTCTGCCTCAGCACTGACTGTCACACTCAAGACCCCTAAAACACATCAAAAGATGCAGAGAGGAGTTTATTAGCGCTAAAAACAATTCAACAGAAATGTGAGATTATGTCTGAACTTGAGAGGTTTAGAACTCACCAAGCACAGAGGGAACAAGAGTCCATTTGAAGGTCTTTCTACCATTTGCACACAGACAGGATGAATACTCTCCATCAGAGGAGGCTTTCAGAGTGTAGGTTGAGGAAGGAGCTGGAGTCACTTTAACCTGTCCGTGAAGCACAGGAGATCAGCTTACTGTGGATGTGAAGTGATGAGAGACTGGTTTAGACAGAAAATGTTGATCTTACAGTACCATAATGCACTTGGAGAGATAGTTGAAGACAGTGGCCTTCAGCTCAAACTCCTCTCCCCGGATGATGGAGTAGGGCAGCGAGAGCTCCAGGAAGAAGGGCTGGAAGACACGAAGCTGAGCAGGAGGAGCCACTCCCAGGCCTCTAGAGGACAGACAGAAAGCATCCGTCTCCCAAGTGGTGATCGTGTCAGGAACGGTGACCGGAACCTGTGCTGATCCAGAGTCTCTGTGGAAAAGCAGCACTGACAATTCCATCATCAACATAAATCCTAAACTTAATACATTTTTCAGTTTATGATATTGACTTTATTTTAAATTACATAAAGCACACCATTATACAAGACAGCAAGAGAGTTAAAATACTTGCACAAGTTAGTAAAAGTGCTTAAAGACAATCTATGACAGTCAATAACATCATAACACCATGGAGATACACCAATCTCACCCCTTAAACCGTAAGCCTATTATTCTGTTACTGTATTGATGTAAAAACATCTTGAAATCTTACTTGATTGGTAAATACAATAAAACTAATGCATTATATAAATAAGAGAGTGAGGAATGACAGTGTGGAACCACATTAGGATCCCGTAGAGCTTAAGAGAACAGGTACATAAACAAAAAGGCGCATTAACCTTCTATATTTTACGGCAGCTGAATTGTTTAATCATCAAATACAATAAAACACACTTAAAAATAAGTCCATGAAGTCATAAAGCTGATTCACTAACCCCACTTCAGCAAGCTGCCATATCCAAGTTTCTGGGAAGAATTTACGAACTGTCTCAATCGGTTCAGAGTCTTCCTTCAATAAACGCTCTCCAAGTGCCATAGGAGAGGCCAGGGCAACTGTGTGCCGCCCTTAAAATGCACAAAAACCTGAACATTTAGCATGTCATGTACAGTAGCTGGCAGAAGTTGTTTTAAGTCAAAGAAATAGCTAGCAGAAGAAATGGATTTACATCCATGACCGCCATAGACATAGCCGCGGCGATACTCTAGGCCTTTGTAGATCAAACAGTGAGGTTCTCTGATAGCCAGGTTCGTTGCCATCTTGAGCCCCACACTCTGTCAGAACATAAAAAGTCATTATTCAATATAATAATAATAATAATAATAATAATAATCATAATAATAATAATACATGATATTTATAAAGCACTTTTCAAGAACCCATTTATGCTTACAATTAAAGCAGTACATAGAACATCAGAAAACAAGACAACACAGAAGAACATCATAAGGAACATGCTTTTGACATGACATTTCCAAATTATGCTAATTCACTTTAACATATACTTCTTCAAATATTAAATGAAATACATAAATTAAATAAATGACCATTTATACTAGAATATTTACACAAGGCTTAACATTACATCTAATAAACAATTAGTTACCTTTAGAGTATTGTAAGCCTTGTCTCCCTGTGTATCCCGTCTCGGTCTAACATGCAAACACGCCTGCTCATCTTCAACTTCATAGGAATAATCTGATGCCGATTTCACTGGCAACAAGTTAAAGACCTAAGACAGACATAAATGAATGTATTATTATTGCATGTCTTTTGCAAAAAGTCTCAACACACATAACAACCGTTTATGTCCTTTGTGTGTATTATATTAACACCACTGAAAAAATGTAGCAAGCAACCACACTCTCAATAGCTTCATTCAATTTTATGTGCAATGAATAGCAATACTAAAAATATGAAAAAGTCTGTTGCTATTGCATTAGTGCAATACTGCACTATTTAAACTAAAACTCTGTGGTATCAAGTGTTCTAATGTCACAGAATTGTCTGCATGCTGGCAGGTATGTTACAAAAAGGCTTAATTCATAAAGAATCCTAGATTGTTCCATTGTTTGTCTATGCAGCTCTGTGACAGTCAAGAAGCCCATTTCAGTGGAGAGGAGCACAGAAAATAATAGGTGTGGAATGAGGGAAAAAAAATGTAAGATATATTTTTGCTAAGCTAAATCGCTTTTTAAAAAAATAAGTAAATGTATCAGAATCACTGGCATTAGCTTCTAAAATACACTAGCGTTCAAAAGTTTGGAATCAGTGTTTTCAATAATACAAACTTAATTTTGTTGCAGATACACATGTAAAATGCTTCTAGTATGATGATAACATTCTACAGTTTTTAAACAACTAGTAGGAAGCTGTATAAATGAGCAATGAACAGAGTTGTATGTGATTCCATAACTGAGAAAGTTGTACAGCGTTTTGAATGCCTTTTATTGAAAACGAAGAAAATAGACCACATCTCGCTGATCAATAGTGCTAACATTTGTGGTATTTTTTTTGTTTTATCATAACTTCTTCTTGTTCCAAATATACTTTAAATCATCAGTTTAAAGTTTCATGACTAGTCTATAATATTCCAATCTACACAGTATAAAATAGTATCGAAGAACAATTATGAAAAGTAATTCCAAATATCCTGTCACATAGTAGTAATACACTGTTAATTCTACCAAAGGGTAAATTAGAGTTTTAAGATGAGGTGTAATAGTATAATTTTATGTCCCATAGAAATTGAAACCCAGATTTAGTACAATCTCAAATAATGAGTCCTAATCTATGTGTACAGTGCAGTGGACTGTGCGAGCAGTTAGTGGCCGTTTTGCAGGTTATTTACAAAGAATAATCGCACAGGTGATACGTGCAAAAAGGCGGAGAAAACTAAATACTAAAATGAGGCTTCGGCCAGTGCCAAACGTTCTTGACAGCTGTGGCATGTTTGATTTGAAGATGTGTTAGCTGAAGTGCGTATGTAAAAGAACTATACCTCCCCAACTCCCCCCCCCCACCCCCCCCCCAAGTAAAAGAATAAGAAAAAGTAAAGAATAAGAGGGTGTGCTAAAGCAATTATTTTATTTTATTATTATTACATATTTAGGAAAAGATGTAAGACATAAGAAGAGCAAAAGAATATATTTAATACACATTTATTCTGCTGCAGAATGGGGGGCACTAAGTTAGGAAGAAAGGTCTTGGATTACATCTAAATACAAAATAAATAAGTGTTGTTATTATTTTTTTATTTTTCCATTTCATAATCTCACTAAATATGTAATAGTGTTGAAAACACAGTATGTAGAGTAAAAGTGGACTGAAGTCTTAGGAGTTTTCTTTATTTCCCATTGTTTAGCAATTACACTTTACTGTTTTCTCAGCTCCACCACTGATACTGTCGGCTGTTCAGTTGCATTCTTTTCATAATTTTTCCTTACTTATTTATTACTGATCATGTTTCAGTGAGGAGAATGTTCATAGGAGTGAGGCATTATATGGACCACATATTTAATTTATGTACATATTTTATATAAAATTATCATTCAAAACTAAAAAGCATTAAAAATTGTAGGTATAACTATGGGTACTAACTTCACCTATACTGCACCATATTTTGCATACTTTGGTAGAAACACCCCAAATTGCATATTCATTAAGGCACACTTGCACAAATGCACAGATAGCGTGTGCTATTTTACTCATTTGAATGACGCAATCTTCCGCAGACCCTGTTAGTAGTTTAGCTTGCACATTTTTTGCAGATGCTATCAAGCTTGCACATGTTTTTGTACACAAACCTTTAGTAAATCACAAAGCTTTTAAAACTAGGCCTACTCAGTAAATCTGAACTTCACCTCATCAGCATTCAGGCGTTTTCCTGGTTCCATGATGAACACACTCTGATCCACAGCACTGAGTCCACACAGTGAACCAGGCAGAGCTGAGAGCTGGAGAGTGTTTTCCTCACCAGGAACTGCCTCAGTGGGAGAGAACTGCAGTGAGACCTGAAGATCATGACGGAAACAAGTTTGGACAGTTATCTTTTTCAGAATAACTAACAGATTACATCTTGCAACTAATAATTATCCAAAAAGTATGAAAACAATGATATAAAGGAACATATGTGCTACATTACTTTGTTTCTGAAGCATTTGTCCACATCAAAATCCTTGCTAGCAGCGATGACGTTCTGACTGGGCAGCACACAGTACACCAGAACCTGAACTACAGGAGCCAGTTCAGCATCAACAGACAGTCTGAATAAGACTTTTCCCTCTATGAGCTTTTTGGATTCTTTCACTTCAACTTTCTCATATCCATGATGGACTATGGCTCCTTTAGACAAGACCTGCACCAAAGAACCAAAAAACATCATACTGACAAACAATTAACTACATTTAATCTAAAGCTGTCTAAATAGAGGAAATGTCAATGTTAATATTTAGAATATATGACTGTATGTACTCACCGTGTATATAATATCAGTGCTATAATTCTCTGTGGTTTCTCCAATAATATAGTACTTGATGTTAATAGAAATTTCCGAATCACATCGAATTGGTTCCTCTAAGCTCTCTATTGATAATTCACTGTACACTGGACTGTAAGGTGTAGCAGGTTCAAGCAGTCGTATTTGTGCATCACTGGTTCTAATGAAAGGTTTTCTGTAATCATGGAATAGGCTGTCCGGATTGACACTTGCCTAGATAATAATGAAAAAATAATTAGTTTCAGATAAACACAGAGTACACGCATTCTCTCAAAGTGTTTGTTCAGAGCATACCAGCAGTGATATCTCTCTTTCAGGCTCATTGGGTGCATTAACTGTGAAGCTGGCCAATCCATTAACATCTGTTGTAAGATTTTGAAGTAGCTCTGGAGACCACCTTTGACCTTTCAAAAGATAGACCTTCTTGTTAGGAATTGGGCTCCCACTGAAGCTTGTAACTTTGATCTGTTGGTCAGTGAAAGAAAATATGTTGTCAGATTACTAGGTTGTTCAAAATGCTTAAATCGTCATAGTATAAGAAAAATAAGTACTGAACAAAGACTGCATGTAAAAAGACGCACCTTTCCCTCTATAACTGTGTTCCTTTCGAAGTTTTTTGGTAAATCAACAAACTCAACTTTACCAATTTCATAAGTAATCTCAGTAGTTCCAGATTTTACCATAGAAATATCTAGAAAAAACACACAATAAGCATGTTACTTACTACGTAATAATGAAACACATTAATTCATTATAAGTGTGCCTTTTCTACGGCGTATGGAAAGACTCACCTGTCCCTTCCTCTGTCACTGTAACAGTAATGTCAAGAAAATTGTCTAAATGTTGTTCAAATTCAGAACCGATGAAATGTGACATGTTGAATACATGAGAGGCACATCCGTTCTCTTTCATCTACAGGAAAAAAAAGAAAATACTTGGTGAGAACAGTTTTATTAGTAAGTAAAAAAATGTCTTCTAATACAGTATTAGATACATACACACCTCCACAGCTTCAACCATGCACGGTGCAACCATGGTGGTCTGATGATAATAATAGCGTTGGAATTTTCGGCACATTTGCATCAGTGCTGTACCAGGTACTGGCTGTCCATAAGTGTACCTTCAAAAAAGAATACATATAGCATGCATATATATATACACACACACATGTATATATATATATATATTGCTGTTGGAACAAAACCTCATATGTCCATTTTTCAGTTTTTGACGTAATTTGAAAATGCCTGTTGCCCATTACATTGTATGTAAATTTCATGACGAATGGACGAAAAGAAATTACCCAAAAAGACTCAGAAAAAGGTCTGGTTCCATTGAATGACATTAAATATATATGGTGATCTAGCAATGGTGTAGCTGAAACATCTGAACTCAATAATTAGGAGGGGTGTTACCATACTTTCAGCCATATATTGCAGTTCTAGGTTAAATATTTCTGATTTTGATGTTTTAGACAAATCAGAGATATTATTTTTAGTCTAAAAATTAATCTGATAAGATGATGTTTGTGAATTATTATCAAAACCAGCACTCACTTTGCACAAACCTCTATCTTCAGGTCTTCATCACCAACACTCTGTTGTTCTGGTGATTTCAGTGTAATCTCAAACCTGGGTAAAACTGAAAGTCCAAATCAAAACTTGTTATTGCAGTAAATTACACTCGTTACTTCATTATCAACAGAAAAAGTGATGTCACTTACCATACTTCTTGACCCTAAAGTTGTGTATGATTGACCTTTCCCCAATGTTAGCCTTCAAATTATAAAGGCCCTCAGGAGCCTCAGGATTCAGTTGGTGAGAAAGCTGCACTATCAGGCCTGTTGAGGACACATTCGTCCACTGACCAATCCTGTTACCATTATTATCCTGTTTGGATCCACAAAAGATACTTAAATTTAATTTATTGCAGTGACAGTTAAGGGAGCACTGACCAATGTTTTCAAATGTTAAAAATCAATAGTTTCATGAAATGTGTAATAATGTGTTAGTCCATCTTACCTCAAGTGTCACTATACTGTACTGTAGAGGAGAGATTAAACATCAATTTTTATTGGGAACATATCAAAACAGCTCTGAAATCATTCAACACATTAAAAACAAGTAGAATGTCTTTGATACAAAGTGGTATGCACAACTTCACTAGGTGTTTATGAAAATGACATTGGAGGGCCCTCATGAGTAATTAAATACATAAGGACAGGACTTACGCAACTAAAATCACATCATCAGCCTTTCTGAATTTATCGTTATGATTTCTTAGCACTAAGAGGCTAAACAGATCACAATAATTTTATTAAGTAAAAAAAATCCCTTACCTCTTGTTTAAGTGGGACAAAATTGGCATCCATAGTGACAACTCTGAAATTCACTGTAATGATAAATAAATATCATATTTTGAACTGTACGTTGTATAACTTTGCCATTTAAGGAATATTCCAGCATGTTTCAACCTAGTCTGCTGTGTGTACTGCACCTGTCAGTTACCCTAGACAATTTCAGCCTGTTTGCCTGTGCTTAGAAAAACCTGTTGACATATAACACAACAGAAATCTCTGGAGAGTAGCTGAATTTAATTAAGAATTGTTTATGCTAAACATATTTAGCATAATCAACATCATGTCACGCTCCATTATGGGATCATTCTGCCATATTGGCAGGGTTTATTCTTTGTTTACAAGATACAAATACTTACACTCACTGCAAGAGCTTAAAGAGATGTTTTATTGTGTTTATTCAGGCTTGTCATGCTTAAAAAGTGAATCAAACGAGAACAGAGTGTATCTTAACCAACTCCAAAAGGATGTCAATCAACATTACACTGATAAAAATTAGTCTTATTGATGGTGCGGATCCATGAGAACTCCCACAATAGAAGGGAGTCATGATCTGAATATGCCAATGTTAAGACCACTTTCATTCACAGACTTTTTTCCTAGCTAATGTGTGGCTCAAGTGCCTGTTTTGAGTAATTCAGAATTTTCAAATCACTGGAAGCCCATGTGGAGTTTACAAATCAATTTTCCACTCAGCCTCTGGCATGTTTACCTCAGTTATTGACATATTTCAGTCAACCACTGGCATGTTTACTTCAGTTACCGGCATATTTCACTCGCCCTCTGGCATTTTCCACTGTAGGTAGTTACACTGCTAGCTTAGATAGTTAGTGACTAAATGAGACTATTAATGTACTATATTAAAATCCATATTAGATCACTCTTAAGGTGCAGTCAGTCTACGAGAAACAGATGTTTGACACCTCAGCTAATGGTACTAGCCTAATCACAGCACGCCTGACCTCAGACTGAAATTCTTGGCTAGAAAAAAACAGCATGTTTGTGAAGTTAGTTAGCTAATACCAAACATGATAAATCCACTATATGACTTTAGAGATGTTATTCCATGAACTCCAGGTATGGAAAGTAATTTACATTTACTCTTTTTACAGTAATTGAGTACATTTATCCCTGTAACAGTAATTTTTTAGTAGAATAAATTATACAACCCTGAGTCCAAAAAAGTTGGGACGTTGTGCAAAATGTTATTAAATGGAAAAAGCAGTGATGTGCAAATCATTTAAACCCTATATGTAATTGAAAATAAAGCAAAGACAACATATCAAATGTTGAAACTTTTTGAAAAATATACCCATTTAGAATTTAAAGCCAGCAACATGCTTCAAAAAAGCTGCGACACTAGTAAAGTTGTGTAAAAAGAGAGTGGTAAAGCTGTGTAATTCACTACTTTACAATAAAATATTGTTGCATTTATAATATTGTTGGGGGGGGGGGCAAAATAGGTATACTGATTTAAGTGAAATTATTATGTGAAAATAGGCAAGGTGTGAAAGCAGGTATAAGAAGAAGATTCTTTACACTATTCAGAAGCAGCCAAGGCTGACTAGATATGCCACAATGGCAAACTGCACATAAGACATTGTGTCATGGCATCACATTCCCAAGCCCTTTTTTCACAATGTCTAGGGAAATGCATCAAAATGACTGCCTGTAGTATTTGACCTTTCTATGCAGCTGCAGCAGAAAGAGATTAGATTGAAAAATGCTACAGTATTCCTTTATGCAGTGTACTGAAAGTGGAGAGACACATTGAAGAAATGATGAATTACCTGTTTGGCCGGGGTTGTAGATTGGTTTATCAGTCTGAATGAATGTCAGTGGGTTGTAGGATTTAAACATAACTTTCCTTTTGTCGGTCATTTGAAAACTTTCACCTTTGACTTCTACTCTGATCTGCTGCACTGACTGACCCTCAACCTGTGGAGCCTGTAGAGATCACATTATATGTTGAGCTATTTTCCATGTTCATCAAACATTAAAAATACCTGACAAATTATCTTTCTGACCTTAAACTTAGAGCAGTTGTGAAATTCCTTCTCCACTCTCTGCTGTAGAAGTGTTCTGCTCTGGTTGTTGTGATCCAGATAGATGGTCATTTGCAGAGTCTCATTGGGCTTCAGAAAACTCGCACAAAATGTAGCCTCAGAGCCCGACTCGATTACTGCAGGAAACGTCACCGTGAAATACCTAAAGAATTGATGAACAATTATGAGAGTTAAATGAAACATTACTAAGACTGTGAGTTATATAACAAAGCGCTGTACAAAGATCAGGGCAAACTTGAGTGATTGATTGAGCAACCGTTACTATTGCAAAACTGTAGACTGAGTGGCTCAAGATATACAAGCCTAAATCCTATGAAGTCAATAGCATGGTTGTGCAATGTAAGCAAGAGCTCCTCCACTTTGGGACATACTAACTCTCTCCTGACTAACTTTGAGCAGTCTCAAAAAATCATCGTCAGAAATAATAAGTCATTTCATCTCACATCAAGCATGTTTCAAGACGATTTGTCACACACGAAGCTGCTACAAGTGTGATATCAATATTTGAACCAAAGCTCTGAAAGTACTAAGGTATGAGAAATACAAAAACAGCAGTGAGAAAAAGGAAAGTTTTACTGACCTATATATTCAATTACACAAAAATTATAGATGGAGATTTTTTTTTATTTTTAGTGTTTGTGTATTATTTCCTATAGATAATTTAGGCTTTGATACTATATGAATCAGAAAGGGGGAGGGGGGTGTCATTTCATCCAAAAAGGGGCCAAAAAATTTAAACAAACAGCACTCTTAGCTTTTAACATACATTAGGTTTTCAGTTTTTAATTAAATTTGGTTGAGGGCTTCAGATCTATCTTAGTACTGAACATTTTCACAAATCCAAATTCTCATATTAGTATCATTTTAACGAGTGGTTCCAAAATGGATAATATTTAATTTGTGTGATTTAAAGGGGAATTCCACTGATTATTCAAAATTAGCAATTTAAACCGTCATGTAAAACAGTTAACAGTCTAGAAATGCACCGACTCTGATTTCCTTATATGATGGTAACAGGAACCAGGGGTCATAATGGCTACAGTGCAAATATAGTCACTTTATTTACCATCCAGATTGTCCAGGGAATCTATATGTGTCTAAAGTTTTATATGAAATGATGATGATGGATGGTAAAATACTGGTAAATTTCTTTAGGTACTATTTTGCCTTACAACATCCTGCATGTTCTTTTTTTGTCATGAATGGCTTTTCAAAAAACACATTTTGGGCCAAAATCATATCTCAGAACTATGATTAAACAATGTTTCAGGAATCAGGCTACATATTTCTAACCTTTTCATGTAATAACGTTCCATGAGGCATTAAACTCTTCAGAAGTCTGGTTACTATCACCACCACTGTGCAAAATTCTGATGCAGTAATTTTCTCAGAACAGAGCATTTCGCATCAAACTACTCAGAATGGCTTTGTATACATCTTGTTGAATTATGCAGGACATTTGAAAAATCTGTGGAATTCCCCTCTAAGATGTAAATACACTGTAAGACATTGACCTCTGAAGTCAAAATCTTTGCCTTTGCTACTGCACAAAACATATCTATTTTCAAATTACATGTTCTGTGGATTTTCTAAGTGAAAGTAAGTTAACACATCCTTCACATCCAACAATCGACATCCAAACAAACACACTTCTGCACATTTTAATGTACAATTACAGTTTATTTGCTGAATTTAACATATTGAAAAAAAAATACATAAAATGTAGCCAGTGCAAAAGTTATGGCATATTTTATATGTCATGTTTTATTTTTTCCAATATTTTACACAGAAAAGAAAAAATATTGCAGATGCCACATTTAAGTGTGTTTAAATTATTTTTACTCAGTGAATCAACAAAAGATGTATTTTGATTGTGGGTATTCAAACTTCTGCATATGACTGTATGTATTATAATATGTCAAAGAACAGACTACAACATTTTTCGCCAGCAGACATCTTTTTGGATTACTTACGGTTCTGAGGTTTGTCCGTACACAGAGAGAAAGAGGAAGCAGGCTAACAGTAGCCCTTCCCGTACGAGGAACCCCCGGACCACCATGATGAAGTCTGATCACCAACACCAGGTTAAGGAGCTTGCCTGCCTTTTTAAAAGGATGTTCAGCCCACAGGAGGTTCTCTGCAAACATTTGGACTCATCATCTCATCAATGATTAACACTTTTGAGCAACACATTTTGGCCACACTGAAAACTGATAGCGTAAGCAAAAAATGTGTCCAAATGTAGTGTTTTACAGGTTTGTTCTCTTGATCCAAAGTGGAAATTTGGAGTGAAAACAACATATAACCTTCTCTCCCTTTTAATAATACACAAATTGATGAATGTTTATTATGTTGACAATTATGTAATCATTACACATGACTATAACCATTCAGTACTATTCACAGTCAGTGAAGCATGAACTGAATCTTATCATTTGGATTTATGACTAATAGGAGCCTATATAGAGTTTAAACATTTAGAATAGAACTGAAGCATTAAAATATAAAGAACTGTGTTACAGTCATGTAAAAAAAAGTAAGCACAAGCCATTAATGTTTCATTTTTTGAGACGTGGATATATCAGTATTTGATCATCAGCTAAACCGTGTGTATAGATAAATGTTACATAATATGTAACATTTAATATGTAATATATACATGATAGTATATTTAAAAATACAATGAGGCGTCTTTTTTCTGTTGAAAAAGTAAGTGCAGCCCTGACTTCGGTAACTGGTATTGCCCTTTTTGACAGAAACAACTTTTTGTAGGCATTTCCTATAACTGTCTACCAGTTTCTGACATCTACTCAGAGAAATTTCTACCCACTGCTTTATGCAGAATTATTTCAACTGCAATGTTTGAGGGGCTTCTCTGAAGTACAGCCCATTTCAAATCCCCCCACAGAATTTTAACAGGATTTAGATCTGGGCTTTGAATAGGCCATTCCACAGCCCTCCATTTCTTCCTTTCCTAGGTGGATTTACTTCTATGTTTGGGATCTTTATCCTGTTAGAAGGTTCACTTCTTCAGCTTCAACTTTTTGGCACATTCTCCTCAAGCATTCTCTGGTCTGAAAGAGAATTCTTAGGATTACAAGTAGGCCAGGCCCTCAGGCAGTAAAGCAAAAAACCATAACATTTCCACCACCACACTTTACAGCTGGTATGAAGTTCTTCTGTTCAACTGCAGTCTTTGGTTTTTGCCAAATATGGCTTCGATACTGTGGCCAAACAACTCTGTCTTTGACCTGGTCCTGATCCGTGCCTAGATACTGATTAGCAAACTCCAGTCTTGCCCCGATGTTTTTTTTAAGCAGCAAATGCTTCCTCCTTATGCACCTCCCATGTACATCAAATTTGTGCAGTCTTGTTCTAATGACAGATGCATGTACTTTGTGGCAAGATCTATTTGCAGATCATGTGATGAAATTACAGACCTCTTTTAGCATCTTACACTCCACTCTTGTGTTAAATTTGCTGGGGAGGCCTGGCCTGGACATGTTGGCAGTGGTTTTAAATCTCTACTTGTAGATGATCTTCTGCACAGTGGAATGATTGATTTCCAATAGTTTGCATATCTTCTTAAAGCCTTTCCCAGACTCAAAGGCATCTACCACCTTCTTTCTAAAGGTCTCAGATAGCACTTTTGATCTAAGCATTCACACTCCAATAACAAAGAACAAACCAGACTAGCATTTTGAGGTTCAAAAAAGGACAAGTTCCTCCAAGATGTTCTCTAAAGGTGTTCTAGTCAGTAGCACCTCTCCACAAATTGCACTTCTGTTTATTTCTATTATAATAAGGTTGACAAATAAGTGTATTTTTGGTGTCAGCTGTTAAATTATATCACTTTTATCTGTATCAACACTCTTTAAATGAAGACCGGATATCTGTATGCCCAAATATGCTGGAAAAGTCTGAACTTTTCACAGGGCTACTTACTTCTTCACGTGACTGTATGTCTGCATTTACTGACAACTGTAAATGTCAACTGTAAATATAGAAGCTTTATGAGAATGACATTTATGCAAGTTTAAAATTGTAAGAGAAATGTGCTGAAGAGTGAACCTCCTTATGGTGGAACCACTGACAAACTATTCACTATTAAAAAAGGCCTGAAATGTTAAGTGTTAATAAAATGCCTTCCGAGAATGTGTAAAAAATAATTGTTCACCTAGAGTGTTTTCATAATATTATCTTTATAAGGGAATCTCTAAAATTGCCATATCATGCAGGGTTTAGAACTAACACATTACTTTTTAAACGTCTGTTAAAAGATGTGATCTTTTGAAACACAGAATTAATATGTACCAGATGACCATGTTAACTGTGTGGGCTGAAATGAGTGCAGGTCACTATTACGATAAACTGTGGATTTTTTTTTCAAGTATGTCAAATTTGCCCTCTTAGACTGTTTACTTACAGAAAAACGTATGGTCACTGACCTGTATCAGTTGTACAAACTTCAAACAAACATCTCCCTCTTGCGCTTTGAGTGAGCAGAGATGAGCCTTCTGCATATTGAAAAAAACTCTAGGAAACACTTTACATGACCCCTGTTACATAACATTAACATAATCATGAAATAAACTTGTCATGGCAGGTGTCATGCACCGTGATGAGTTGTCATGATAGATTATGGCAAGTAATATAACAATGGACTTCCTTTATTAGTATCTAATAAGCCTGGGATTGTAAGGGGTTCTTTAAACCTACTTATGCAGTTTACATGAAGATTCTGACATTAAACAAAGTTTTCTTATTTGGGATTTGTTCTTAGGCAAGAACAGAATTTTTGTGCACTCAAGGGCACAAAGGTGCAAACAATTCTGAACTCGTCATGAATCTGACATAGACATTTGTCAGGACTTTTCTGAAGGACAAATTTAAGAAATAACTGTCATGATATATGAGATAATCTTAACTAGGCCCCTGCCTTCATAACAGTCTTATAAATAAATAAGTGTCCAAATTAATAATTAATTAATAATCAGTTTAAGGGTCCTTAGGTCAATAAAGCGTCACTTATTTAAAAAACAACTGATTTCATCTTACAAATACTGATATAAGCGGTTATTGAATACTTTTATTAAGTATTGATTTTTAAAAACATTATCCAAGCTTTGGCAAGTGTCAAAAAGTAATTTTGTATGTAGCCTTCAAATAACGTGTTACTCCAAATTGATAATGATAACATGACACTGTAATATTAATGGAAATCATCCATCATGACAACTCATGACAGCGTATGACAAATCTGCTATGGCATTGTTATGCCAATGTTATGTAGCAGGGATCAAGGACAGTGTGACCTAATATTGCATACTGTAAGCCTGCAGCATTAATGCTTCAAATCAATGATCGAGTTTCAGTTAAATGTCTATTAAATAATCCATTTTATGCCACTCTCATCACTGGGCGTATCATACGCTGTCATATGAACAAGTTTGAACACTCCCAATCACATAACATGTTTTCTTGATTTTCTGCATGAAGGTAAGTCAACACATCCCATACAATGGATCAAATTTAAATATGACATTTTTCTGCAAATTCTAGCACACAATTTCTATTTATTTGCTGAGTTTAACATATTAACAATATATAACACGTATAAAACTGTGCATTAAACCATACCGAAGGCTTTCTCTGCAAAGGACTTATTTTCACTTAAAAATCATAGGGGGCCCCCAAACCTTTGTATATGACTATAAAACATAACAGCAAATGTCAAAGTTAACATGTGGCGATCAAGTGCATAAGCCTGGGCCGTCCAGTCTTATCTGCCATGGGTCAGTGTTGCTGCAGCTCACCTGACTCTACTTGTTTAATCAAGTGGTCTCAGTTTTCCAACAACTGATTAGGTAAGCTCCTGCTTCATTGGAATGATGAAACTGCAGCCCCACTGGCACTTAGTGCATAAGATCTGTCACCCCTATCGCAGACACCACAGTTTCAACATGATTGCGTCTTCTACTACATGTTGTACAGTTGTTAGTGCATGCTGTTGGTTAGCGCTGTGGAACCTGAACAAAGATTCATGATTCCTGGGCTTTTTCACACCCAGTTTTTTGCTGAAGTCCTCGCTTCAGTTTTTTTTGGCATGGTATCTATTATTTGGTTTGGTTAGCTGTGCTCTGCAGCTGCACCAGTTTACACAGGTAGGCGTGCACTGATTGGTCAGAAACTTGGCAGGTATACAAGCGCTGAACCAACTTACTTCAGTGTTTGTTTTTTATTGGTGCCAAAAGAAAAAATCTATTTATTTTTCTTTTACTAGCCTACTAGTGAATATAATCCAGATCAATCCCCCACCTACGGTTGAATGCAAAAGTTCAGGCACTGCTTGTCAAATGATGTCCTGTTGGTTTTCTAAGTGAAAATAAGTGAACACATCCTCTACAGAGAACACACTTCTGCACATTTTAATGCACAATTACGGTTTATTTGCTGAATTTAACTTATTGGGGAAAAAATCTGGCCTGTACAAAAGTTATGCCCCATTTTGTATTTCAAGTTAAATATGTTACACTTAGTAAGTAAATAGAAACTGTGCAGTACAATTTGTAGAAAATTGTTGTTTTCACATTTGTTCCCTATACAGAGAACAAACAAGGTAATCTGACCAGAGGCATATTCTTGACATAAATGTATTACCTCATCTCTTATGCTGCAAGTAGGGAAGCTTATAACAACTGGGAGGCTGAGGCAGAATACAAACACAAAGTTGCTTAATTGTGGGCAATCCAACACTCATTTGTGATTACAGGGGAGGGTCAAGGGCCAAAGAAGGGTCAGTACACAGGGAGACAACAACAGTGGTGACAAATCCATAATCACAGCCAGGAACAAAGCAGGAATCAGTAACAGAGAATGTTCAGAACAGAAAAAAGGAACATGACTCAGTGCTCAGTTAACACACCAGAGACTTCGCAATCAACTGACACAAACAATGTTTATATATGTGTGACCTAATGAATCCAGGAATAAGTCCAGGGTGGAGGTGGAATTTTCCAGACTAGGTAAGTCCATGTGGACACAATGACAAAGCTACATTTATCACTATCAAGGGAATAAAAATAAACCACATTTAATATCCTTGTGACCATGTTCTTCATGATTTAATTATGCTACTCATATTTTGCAGCCCATGTGCCAAAATCAAATGCTTTGCTTTGTTATCCTTCTTTGCTCACTTGCTGTTATTAGCAGCAGCTCACACTACAAAATGTGTCAAATGTTAAAATAGGGTGGGAGAACGTTAAAACATGTTAAAACAGGCAGATGCTGCAATAAAAGAAAGCATGCTCTGATTTTGCATTCCCTCAGACCCCTGCAAAACTGTACATCCACCACCAGCCAACTGAACCAAGGTTCACTTGGAAAAGGTCCACAATTCAGTTGTTTGGCGCGCACCCATGTGTGAGTGAGGGGTTGCAGGAATGAACCGAACTAAAGAAAAAGCTTGAGAAAGTAGGTGCGAAATGATCCTTAGTCTGATATACATTTGCATTTGCTTATTCAAAATACTGATTTCTTTGTTCCCTGTAGTCAGGTCTCCATAAGTTCTGTGAAAAAAAACATTTATAAAAGAAATATGGGCTACAGAAAAATCCTTCAATCTTGAGCAGCTTCTTATTGTTAAGTTTCATATTATGACTATATTGTATATCTTAAGAGAAGACATAATGCAATGATAAATATAATGACTCATGAAATGTCTATTAATGGGCAGCAGGAACCTGTCAACGACTGCTCATCTTTATTGTCCAATATAACTGATTTTTTTCTTTGATAGGATAAAAGTGTGTTTTAATTTCTTCATCAATTCACTGTATTTGCCTCCTTCTGCCATGTTTTGTAGCTAATGCTGGGCAAAAATGGAAACACATGATAAGTCTCACTGTCACTTATTTCCCCTGTTAGGCCTGCACAAGAGCTCAAACAGCTAGGCCATGTGCTCATTTTTGTTCTGCCCATCAGCTGATTTTCATCAGGAGGTCCACCTAGTTCTAGACCCATATACTATAGCATTATATGGCCAAAAGGATGTGGACACCTGACCATCACACTTACATTAGTTTGCTGGACATCCCATTCCAAAACCAAGGTCTTTCATATAGAGTTGCCCAATGCCCTCCCCTGCCCACCAACCTTCTTTTGCTGTAATAACAGCCTCCACTCTTCTGGGAAGACTCCACACAATAATGTGGAGTGTATCTGTGAGAATCTGTGCCCATTTGTGAGGTCAGACACTGATGTTGGGCGAGAAGGCCTGGCTCACGACAGACATTCCATTTCATCCTAAAAGTGTTTGATGGGCTTGAGGTCAGGGCTCTGTGCAGGCCATTGAAGTTCCTCCAAACCAAACTCATCAAAAAATGTCTTTATGGACCTTACTTTGTGCACAGAGGCACAGTCATGCTAGAACAGGAAAGAACCTTCCCCAAACTGTTGCCTCAAAGTTGGAAGCATGTAATTGTCTTAAATGCTTTTGTGTGCTGTAGCATTTACATTAACCTTCACTGGGACTAAGGGCCCTAAACCCTGAAAAACAGCCCCAGACCATCATCCGCTCCTCCACAAAACTACTGTTGACACTATGCATTCCAGAAAGTACTGTTCTCCTGGCACCCACCAAACCCAGATTTGTCCATCTGATTGCCAAAATGTATTACTCCAGAAAACATGTTTCCACAGCTCCAGATCTAGCAGGGCAGAAATTTCACAAATTGACTTGTGGCATCATATGACAGTGCCACATTTAAAGTCACTGAGCTCTTCAGTACAACTCTTCTTCTGCCATTGTTTGTACATGGAGATTGCATGGGTGTGCGCCTTTAGGAAGGGTGTCCACATACTTTTGGTCATATAAGCATGGTGGTTGCAAAATCTCTGTTGTTTGTTAGTGTGTTAAGATTCTATGTTCTCTAAGTTAGGTATAATCCCAGTCTGCTTTTGTTCTGTGTTTAACTTCTTGTTCAATTTTATCATTATTGTGTAATCTGTTTATTCTTTTACTCTAGACTCACAGAGCTACCTCTCTGATTAAACTGTATGCATGGGTGTATCTGCAAGGTAAAACCATATTGCATTCACATTATTTATTCGCCAAATTGTAATTTTTTGCTTTTTTTTTCATCCTATTTGCTGGATATGCATAAAACACATGGATGGAAACCTACACACTCTTAAAAACATGCTTCCTCAAGGGTTCTTTAGTAAAGAAAAAGGTTCTATTAAGCACCATGAATATTCTTTGCATCATGAAAGAGGTCTTAAGAATTTGCTATAGACGGTACCATATAGAAACTTTTTGAAAAGGGTTTTATCTTGCAAATACACCCAACATACAGTACAGAGACCCATCTTTTTTAAGAGTGAAGATTTTGTCCCAGGCACTTTAATGACGCCATTACCCTTTGCTTATTCTAAATTAATGACAGAAAAACTCTACCTTCCCATGGACTGAAGTTAAGAGGGCTAAACAGATAATGTATGAACCAAAAGCATGAATTATTTTTACATGAGCATTTTCCAACATCTCTTTATCCCTTAGGCTGTGTTTGTTAGTGTGCTTTTAAGGCTGATATATGGCCTCTTTTCTGATTCGCTGTCCTGTATTGTGCCTCATTTGAAAGAGGTCCATTCTGAAACACTCTTTATAACTTCAACTTGAACAGGTGGAGCTAAACTACTGTAGACCTGAATAGGTGGATGTATATAAAAGGACAATTCAGTTTTCCATAAAATGGGCTCTTTAAAGTGCCAACCGGAAAGCTTAACCAATAAATGGGTCAAATCAGGTTAAAGTTCCAGCACACAGTTCTTGCAGACTAAATCAATGCTGCAGTCTGATCTGTGGCTGACAGTGTGGGAGGTATTATACTCCTAGGTGAAGGTCCATGTAAACTTTTCATGCTAATACTAGAGATGCTGTGGCATGACAGTTGAGAGGTTCACTACAGGAAATCTGTAACTAAAACTGGAAAAATTACTTAATCTCTTACAGATAATCAATAATGTGCAATGATTTTACAAAACTCATTCATTGACGTTCATAATGATTTGTTGTTTTTTGCTTCTTTTTCAATCTCAATACCTTAACGTTTGCTACCTCAAATCTGTGACCTTTAAAAAGGGTCAGTGATATAGAAATGAAACCTTGTCCAAAGAAACCTTAACACCGGCCAGATAATGCTGATACCAGGCAATAATCTACACGCACAGAGCTTTAAAGAAACACATGATCAGTGACTTCTTACCTTCTCAGGAGCTCTCACACCACACAAAGTGTCAGGATGTTCACATACAGAAAACTTTTCCTCCAATATCCCAGTGTGTCAAAACTCCTGAACGCCCTTAAAACACATTAAAACATTAGAGTCAGCATCTGGGTTTGCACAAAGAACACGCTCTAACTTTAATTAGCAAGCAAAGTGAGAAGAGACGTGCCATAGACAGCTGAGGACTGCAGGATGTGACAAATATGTGGACACGTCACTCCATGTCACAGTCTCGCTGGGCTGGACGTGATCTTATAAGGAGAACACACGTCTGTGGAAACATTATTAAACTACTGCTGCTGAATTGTGGCAAAATTTAGAGTAAACAGGGATATGCCCCCTTTAAAACCCACCCCAAATTCCTCAAGTGCCAGAGTGCAAATCATAACACAAAAATAAGCTTGCTAACTAAACAAGCTTTGTAACGAAATGCAACCATTAGCTAATGTTTATTCCAAAAAAAATAATGTTTCAGGAACAGAGCTTGATTTTGTTTCTTGAGTGTGAACTGTGAACTGCAGAGACCACATACAGCCTCAACTTTTATTAGTAGACCAGTGACGTCCTGGTTTAATTAAACTGTTTTTCCCTGGCAAAAGATAATGTGTTTTATTATGTGTTCTCTGCAATCACAACACCTCCACATGCATAAGTTTTGGGGGCACTTTTCAGCCATGCTTACTTATGTTACACCCATGCGCTAACAAACAGGCGTGTTATCCGTCTGACAGTGTTATTGAGTGCAGCATTGCCCCCTACTTTGAGTTACGCTTTCACAACTCATTGGATTGGTTTAGAAATTTCACACTCAGTTTCTTCCCACCCCACATTTAGCCCAAAATTTCTTGTGGGTGTCTCCAGACATTCTCTGTGATCACATCTGGTCTCACAAGACTAGCTACGGCACTGTTGTGTGGGCATTTTTCGCATCTTTCATCTTGGCTTGACTGGCACACGCCCTGCTTGGAACTCTCTGCCATGTTTGGGAAAAAAACAAACAAATATATATATGTTCAATATATTTTTATATTATATTTATCTCAAAGCTAGCGTAAAAATCTCTCAGAGGCTCTTATTCATCAAAGCTAAAAATATGGTCAAATCTGGTCATACAAAGACAGCATGCAAATTTCACCCACAGTTTTGTTATTCATCAGTTTCATCTTTGACGTTTCTGTATAATCAAACTCATGTCTGGTTGAAGTGCGTGTTAATTTGAGTGTAATATCTGAACAACCTGAAAAATGCTACTCTTTAAAAAAAAAGACTTCATGTGGTAACAAAGAATTTGAACTAGTTTTATTTAACACAAAAAAATTTAATTGAAAGAGTCAGTCATTCAAAGTATTTGTTTACACTGAATAAAACCGAATAAAACTGAATAACTACTACAAAAAAAAATAAAACCTAATTAGGAAAAAAAAATCACTCTACACAATCACATCACTCAGCCATCTTATATAAAGTTAAGACAACTCACATTTAATTATTTCAGTGTGACTGTAACACTAAGCTGTTTAGGCTATGGCCACTAGGGGGAGGAGTGCACCTATAAAGACAACCACTGGCTCATGAACCTGCTGAATGCTGAATGCTTTCCTTTTACTGGTTCAATGTCGGATTATCTGCATGAAATTAGGCATGTCTAATCTACATGACGTGTATATGCCGACAGATTTAGGGCGTTTCCTTTGCAAATTATAAAATACAAGTGTGCAGACACTTGTTTCTAAGCACTGAAGCTGATTCATCCTCAGTTGCACTCAAATTATTCCTTGTTTTAATGTCGTAGGACAGTTTCATGTATCAGATGCGGAGTACTTCGGGCGTCATTCAGGACAGTCAAGTTTTCGTTCATTTTAATGGTCCTCTGATGAAAAAGGTAGCGTTCATATCCATTTCATAATAGCTTTTTGTAAGGTAGCTTTTAGAGGCATTAAACATTAGGGATGCTGTATCACCAGCATTGTGAACAGTTCTTACTCGACAAGTTTCTCGAGAAGAGCACATTTTACATCAAAACATTCTGCACGACTTACATCTTCACTATGGAGGAATTCTGAAAAATCGATGGACGTCCCCTTTATAGTATATCAATGCAGCTTCTACCACACTACAACAGCTCTCAAAAAGCATATACAGGTAATACTTCAGAGTAATGATGCATAAACCGACAGAAACTATCGCATATCATAACTAACAATTAATCATTGCTGTAAATACGTTAGTTCACTACGATAACGGCAGTTTTCTGCATTCAACATTAGTAACCTAAAGCAAACTCGGACTCGGACTCTCAACATGTTTAACTACTGTTTACTCCACATTAGCTGGGCGATGCCACAAGCCTACTTAAACTGTAACTGGTAAAGTAAACCGGAATATGAAACAATATGTGGAGTTTACGGCAGCTAAGCTGTGTGACACGCCTAATAATGAAGACTGGAACTGGAAAATGTACGTAAGCAACCGGTGGACTCGAGCAGTGTTAGATTAGCTCGAAGTGCTTAAAGCAAAATCTCACCTTCTGCATCCGAGTAGCCTTTAAAGTGAACTGTACCAGACGTCATGCAAAGGCGACCAGCTTGTTCTGCTCACTAGTTATGAAAATTACAGACTTTTGCACCTGCAGTGGACAAAACTGTCTTGGGTCGCTGTTTCGCCCCCGGGATTTTAGAGAGGGCGTCGTGACATCCACAGGGGCTCGTCACGCTCTAAGAGGGACAAACAGAAGCACTTCTCAGCCCGGAGTTATTGTGGGAAACTTCTGGAAATCTTACCCTGAGAGGCACTAAAATGTGGAGTGGACTCATCCGGGGACTCTGAAAAACGTGGGATGGATTTAATTTTGTTTATTGAGAACTTTGCAGCAACAGCCGCCTTCTGCGTTATCATACACATGAAGCCTCTTCATATACAGTCCCTAACTAATACATCCACTCTGTATATGAACAAGGCTTGAGTTCATGTGCTTGACAAAAACCTGCATGTTAACAGTGTTTTTACACACGCACACACACACACACACACACACACACACACACACATACACACACATTCTCTAAGCCACTTATCCTTCTGGGTCGCGGAGGGAGCTGGAGCCTATCCCAGCAGTCAATGGGCGGAAGGCAGGATACACCCTAGACAGGTCGCCAGTCCATCACAGGGCAGACAGACAGACATACACACTCACACGTAGGGGCAATTTAGCAATTGGCCTGACCGCATGTCTCTGGACTGTGAAGAAACCGAAGCACCCGGAGGAAACACACGCAGACATGGAGGGAACATGTAAACTCCACACAGAAAGGACCCTGGCCGGGTGTTTTTACAGTTTTACAGAAGTTTACAGTATACTAACTGAAGCACGCCCTCCTGGGTATACAGGGCCCGACAGCTGTCAGCTCATGCAGGACAATTTAAAGATTGTGTTGGAGAAGTGTATGATAAATCTTACAAGTTAATGCGCAAAGAAAAATAAACTGTCTAATAAATGATTTTACAAAACAAAGATAAATGTATTCCGAGAGGAGTCAACACTTTAAGAATGAGAATTTCAGCATATCACTGCTGTCAGACCAAAACCTTGGATCTCCAAAATGGTGACTTTACAGGAGAAGGAAAAAACACACTTAACTTTTATTGTAAGTCAATGTAACCAGACTTTCTTCCGAGTCATTTTGGGTCGTTTCTTTTGGTCCGTTCATCATGAAATTCACACACAATGTAAAAGGCAACAGGCATTTTTTGAAATTATGTCAAAAACTGAAAAATGACAAAAATGGACATATGAGATTTTGTTCTGATTCCTATATGCTTAAGAAAGGCTTTCCCACAGAATGTAATGGCATTTTTTATTCTACAGTCTATGTTTGCATTGTTTATATAGTTTGTTCGACAGTAGATGCAGGAAAAAATACAGACATGGTTTAACATGGTTTAAGTTTAACATACTGGACTTTTGCATAACACATTTTAAATGTATTTTTTCAAAAAATTTACAAAACAGGTATATTTGACAGCCGTGATGTTATTTCGTGATAACACATTCCCTCTCATGTTCTATTGCTTAAATATACACACATTGAGTGCATATATATGCAGCCATCATTGTTCTCTTTGGATGTTGCTGATGAAAATTAGAAACTGTAATCACTCTATTTTCATGTTGACCCTGCATTCATGTGATTTCCCAACCACACACTAATGCTTGTCCTGATAATGACCAATACATTCTTAACAACCAAGACTCCGCTGGCACTTTAGTATCCCAATAAACTGTTCAATACACACACCACAAAATGTGGTACTCAATACACACATACACCTCTTTCTTATACACATACACATGAGCCTTCGCTGTGAAGATAATTAACGAAGGTGGAAAGGGTGACGTGTTTCTTTTCCACTGTTTACAGGCTTTAACTTCTGTTCAGCGCTGCTGCCATGATAACACTGAATGATGGCGCACGCACAGTGGAAAAAAAAGCACATGAATTCCAATCTGAGCGTTCACATTAAGGTCGCATGGTCACGAATCGGATACGTATCTGATCTAGGACCACATATGAAAGTGGCTCAGGTCGGATTTGAAAAGATCAGATTTACATGTCCACACAGCCCTGAAAACATCAGATCTGAGTCACATTAGGGCAAAAAATCAGATTTGTGCCACTTCAGCCTGGTAATGTGAACGTAGCCATACACGCATACACAGTGCAGTGGTCCCTTTATCATTTTATACATTTCTACATAGATTTGACCAGATCTTCATTTAACTCATAGATAAAGAGAACAGCAAAAGTGTTAAACAAATAACACAAAAAATATAATTTTTTATTTATTTGTTGAACCAAGTAATTCAACATTAAATATCTTTGTTGGCAAAAGTATGTGAACCTCTGCTTTCCATAACTGGTGTGACACCCTTAAGCAGTAATGACTTCAACCAAATGGTTCCTGCAACTGTTGATCAGCCCTGCACATTGACTTGAATGAAACTTGGCTCATTCCTCCTTACAGAACTGCATCAGCTCTGTTATGTTGATGGGCTTTCTTGCATGAATGCCACACCTTAGGTTCTGCCTCAACATTTCCCCTGACTTAAGCTTTGGACTTTTACTAAGCCAATGAAACATTTCTTCTGCTTTAATCATTCTATAGACTAACTGGTGTTTTAAGGGTCATTGTCTTTCTGCAGGACCCACCTTCTGCTGAGGTTCAGTTCATGGATGTATGCCCTAACATTCTCCTGTACAATGTCTTAAACAATCCAGAGTTCATAGCTCCATCAAATGATGGCAAACTGTCCTAGTCCTGTAGCAGCAAAACAGCTCCAATCCATAATACTGCCACCAGCATGTTTCAAGGTTGAGATGAGGTTCTTTTGCTGAAACACAGTGTATTGCTTTGCCAAACATAACACCTGTCATTTAAGCGATAAAGATCCATTTTTGCCTTATCTGTCTACATAACATTATTTCAGTTTCTTCTGGCTCATCCAGGTGATCTTTAGGAAACTTTAAACAGGCAGAAATGTTCTTCTTGGAGAGCAGTTGATTTCTCCATGCTATCATTCCATATACTACAGTATACTTGTTCAGGGTTTGCCTGATTGTGGGCTCATGAACACTGATATTGGCCAGTTTAAGAGATGGCTGCAGATCCTTAGATGTTACCCTGGGGTTCTTTGTGATCTCACAGAATATTCCACACCTTGGAGTCATTCTGCTGTCCGTTTCACTCTTTGTGGTTGATCTTTCTTAGCGAGTTCTGTCAGTGGTGCTGCTCTACTAAAAACATTTGGAATTAAATAACGGTACTACCCCACTCAAAAATGATCATACTCTCTTTGTAGTCACTGGAGCGTGGCATGCTTTCACTGCTTCCACTTTGTCTACCCGAGGTTTAATGACTCCATTTCCCTGCATGTAGCCCAAGTATGAAACCTCACTTTCAGCCATGGTGCACTTTCCAGGATTGATAGTTAGTCCAGCACCTTTAATCCTCTGAAGAACCTTCTTTACAGGCCTCAGATGTTCTTCTCATGTCATGCTGTACATCACAACATCATCGATGTATACTGCTGTGATGTCTTCCAGTCCTTTCATGATGTCATCAATGAGTCTCTGAAAAGTCGTTGCTGCCCCCTGCAGTCCAAATGGGACCAGTAACCTTTACACATATCAATTGTCATTAAAACCTTCCTGATTCCCAGCCTTTCAATGAGCTTTTCAGCTCTTGGCATCAAACAGGGGTTGAAGGCTGACATCCTGTTCAGAATAGAGAAGTCCAGACAAAACCTTATCCCTCTGTCTTTCTTTGGGACCAGGACTAGGGGAATGCGCCATTCACTTATAGACGGTTCAACCACTCCAAGTCTCAGCATCATCTACACTTCTTTTTAAGTCTGGTATGAGATGTGTGAGCAGTCTACAGTTTGTTTGTCAGCCTGCTGTTGTGCTGAATCAAGTCCATGGCTCTTCTGTGAACAGGTCTTTGGGTATGACTCATGCTATTTCTTGCTGCTGCCATGGTGTGAGGTGTGACAAATCCATGCTCGTAGTTTCACCTCCTCTCACTGGAAAGTACTGCTCACAGTTTTCTTCATCTTCAACCACTTGAGCAACATCTGACCAGTGAGGTTTGTTGCTGGTCCTCTCCACAGCGTTAACATATTTATATGAAATGACTGCAATGTCTTCTTTTGGTCTGGCAGTAGCAATTCATATGTGGTCTGCCCCAGCCTTCTCTGGACCACATATGGACCTTGCCACTTTGCCAGGAGGCTTGTATATGAAGTGGCCAATGAGATGAGTGCTTTATCACCTGGCTTCAACTCTCTGTCTTTAGTGGCTGTGTCCTACCACTTTTTGGTTACGCTGCACCTTTTCTATGTTCTCTCTCACCATTCTAGTCAATTGTTCCATCTCTCATCTTTAAGACATAAATAAGAGTGTTCATCTGTTTTTCTGTGTTTTCTCCTTCCCAGGCCTCTTTCAGCACATCCAGAGGGCATCTGACTTCTCTGCCATAAAAAAGATGGTAGGGTGAGAAACCAGTGGAAGCCTGTGGTACTTCTCTATAGGTGAATAGCAGCATCTCTTTCATTGTTTTATTAAATGATCATGCCATCAATCAGGGGGTGGTATAGGGTAGACCTGATACCCCTAATGTCTAATAACGCTAGAACTTCCTTCAGCTGTCTAGATGTAAAATTAATGCCTTGATGGGTTAAAATGTCTTTTAGTACATTAACATAATCTGGCATGTCTTTACTTTTCAAAGTGGAAAAACTTCAGGGTATCAAGTCGCATAACTGCAAATGACCAAGGTATAGCAGTTCTGCTCTGGCGTCTTGGTAAAAGCCCCACTACATCCATAGCCATCAGCAGAAACAGGCAAATTTATAAGAGGCCCTTTTCGTGTTCTTTTTTAAAGTTGATAGCTGGCGTACCTGACACTCCCTGCTGTACTCAGTGACATCTAGGTATTGGTGAGACCAATAAAACCTGCTCGCTATCCTACTTTTTGGTGTTTTGGTGTGCCCTAGATGACCTGCCCATGGACCAGCATGTCCAAGTTTAAGAATTTCCTGTCTCAGTCTTTTCAAGACTACAAACTGTTCATGTTCTGCCTTAACTCCATACAGTTTATCATTCTTTAGAACAAAGTAGATCTCCACAGCACACTGGTTTTAGGGTCTCATTCTCTTTTTGTAGCTGCCCTATATCTGCTGGGAGAGTCAGCGTTGTTAAATCTGGGCTTTTTAATTGTTCTTCAACTACTGTGCCCTACTGTTCAACTTCTTGCCTTCTTTCTTTCTTTCACTTGGGATTTTCTACATAAGACAACTCATTTAGTAGCTGCTTATTTTCATCTGCTGCACTCTCTAACATAGCCTGATTTCTAGTGACTACCACTGCATCTGCATTATTATGGCTAGTTTGTAGAAGATCAATCAGTAGTGGAATATCCCTGACAGTATTACTGTCAGTCACTCCTACGTTTAACAGGTACGCCTGACCTTCAATCTCAATGTTAGTTGCAGAAGTTGGGTATATTTACTCTTCTCCATGAACACACCTCACTTTTAGCTTGCCTGACTGACTAAACTGGCTCCCGGGTAAACATTGTCTTCTCACTCACTTCCCACTTCCTCATGAATTCTTTGCGCCGCTGGAGCCTTCTTTGGTGCCATTCTTTGTCCTTAGGATTCGTTGTCTGTTGGCTATAGCCTTCTACTGCTTTCTTTGTGCAAGCCATTTGTGATGATGGATTTCAGTCATCTGGTTTCCCACTGCCACCATTTGTGATGACTGTTGCGTGTTGAGGTAATAAACCCAAGGTGTACCTCCTTTATAGAGTAACTACACCCTAAGACCTTTTTTTTCCATTAACAGCTGAAATGCACTGCTCTGTAATAATAAAATACACCAGCCTTGCTTAAAATGTCAACACATCTTTCCAAATTGAAAAATCATTTTTATCATTGTCAGTTCCACCTCTGCAGTACCCCTCTGGTTCAACTCTGCTACAGGCGCGGACGACATGTCTTGGTACCAAAGTACCATGACACGTCACAGTATGCATATCAGTCAAATAATGTTACCGCCCCCTAATGACGCCCTACTTACCCCTTATATATATACTAAACACATAAAAACGTTTCAGATGGTTAAGAAAACCTATTTTGGCTTAATTGCTGTTTACTATTATGTACTTGGGAATAAGAACCATATTTAACAACTTAAGTGAATGTGAAATATTTTTACTGTGCAAAATGGCTCAATAGAGAATATATAGAGAAACCTATGGTGCATACACATCAACAACTAGGCTAAATGTTGTTTCGCCCCCAAATTAACTCAGTTATTGGTCTAATATCTGCACCTTGTACACTCACACTTCACAAAATTCACATAAATTTTGCATCAATGTAGTCACATATTTAAATATACAAACGCAAAAAGAGACAGAAATACAGTGATGTGAATGAAATATTTTACTTTCTGAATGTCTTGATTTTTCAGTGTGGCTTAGTGTGGCTGTACCTTTTGGCTAGTTTCTCTCATTGTCATACCATGAACAAGAATGATGCACATATCACACTGTAATATGCTGAATCACTTGTCTTCTTCATCCTCTTCTTTACCAGCTTCTCACCTGCGGTCTTCCTCTGGTCAGTGATACACCAAAATAGCTCACCTGAGTTTTCAAGCAGCATTACTATTGTGTTGTTTGATTGTACCTTTAGGACTATGTGTGATCAAAAAAGCTCATAAGTGGTGAAACCATGCCAAGTGTGTTATTTTTTTTTTTTTATGATTAACATTTTTTATAGATTTTTCTCTTAGATTAATACAAAACTACACATATCAGTATTTGTAACATAACCCCCTTTATCCTCCCCCTTCCCACCCCAGCTGTGTCGGTGCTACATTCATGACCTGGTTTAATCCAGTGCTGTACAAGGCTCTGTATCATTAAAAGAAAGGGAAATAAACAAATAAATAAATAATAATACTAATAATAAAAAATAAAATAAATATACAAATAAGTGAGCAAACACATAAGCCATAGAAACAGATAAATCAATCAATAAATAAGCAAAACGACAAAATAAATTAAGTAAAAATGACAATAACAACAAAGCGGATCACCACGTTACTCCTCTTTAAGAGCTCTCTATAAATCTTAAATATTCGATGCAGAATTTTAAATTGTATAAGGCGTACTCTAAGGTCTCTAAAAATTATTTTAAAATTTTGACATATTCGTGCCCATTCATTCTCTTCCAGTGTCAAGTTTAAGTCTCTTTCCCAGACTTTTTTAAGGCCATAAGACTACTAACTTGTCTCGTTCCTCCACCAAGAGAAAAATACTTAGAGATTAGTCCATTAGTCTGCACAGCTGCTTCAGGTCGGTGATATAATAGCTTAATCCACCTTATAAAGACACTCACAAATCCATACACCTTAAGTATTTTAAATAGATAGTTCCATTCCACCATATCAAATGCCGTTTTGGCATCAAGTGATATAGCAGCAACTGTAGAATAGGAATCAGCTACTGCCCACATAATGTTGATAAAACGCCTAAAGTTATCAGCAGGGGACCGGCCATGAATAAAGCCCACCTGATCGATTTGTACTAAGAAAGTAATCACTCTGCACAAACGGACTGCTAGAATTTTTGACAAAATTTTTACATCTAATGAAATCAAAGAAATTGGACGATAACTTTTGCATTCACAGGGGTCCTTACCTTTCTTAAGAACAAGGATAATCAGTGGTTGTGACAGAGTAGGGGGCAGTTCACCCTTTTCAAAAGCCTCCGTATACATGTCAAGCAAGAGTGGGGCTAGTTCTAAAGCATAGGTTTTAAAAAATTCTCCAGTAAAACTGTCTGGTCCCGGAGCCTTGGCAGAAGGCAAGGCCCTAATAATTTCAATAATCTCTTCTACTGTTATGGGTGAATCCAGACCCTGTTTTTGCTCCTCTGTCAGTCTGGGCAGTCTGAGTGGCTCTAGAAAACTAGATACCTCCTCCTCCGTGGAGACAGAAGTTGGTCGATAAAGATCAACATAAAAATCTTTAAAAAAACCATACTGATATCTGTTGTTGCAGTTAAAATGGTGTCTCCTGGAGACCTAATGGCGGGAATAATGCATGATAGTTCTTTCTGTTTTATATATCTAGCGAGCAATCTCCCTGCCTTATCCACTGACTCAAAGTATGTCTGCTTTGCCCTGAACACAGAGAATAATAATAAACTATTATACTGATATTTTAAATGAGTTAGCTCCCTCAAGCTATTATGTGAAACCTGACGTTTCAACTCTGTTTCAACCTTTTTAATTTTGCTTCCCAAGTCTAACATTTTTGCCATCTATGTGAGGCATACTGAATAATATTAGAACTGCCTTAAGAGCCTTCCAAAACTACCTCCGCAGAAGGCGATGAAGCCAAATTAATCTCAAGATAAGAATTAATTTGTGCTCTTAAAGCCTCTCGAAACTCTGAATTTTGAAGAAGCGACGAGTTTAATCTCCATCTATATGTTCGACATCTGGCATTCTGAGGTATTAATTCCAATCTCACCCAAGCATAATCGGAGACTAAGATATTACCAATAGAGCACCTGGATGCTAAGGCAACCAATGATTTCGAAATTAAGAAAAAATCTATCCGAGAATATATTTTATGGACTGACGAGAAAAAAGAATAGTCACGCCCAGATGGATTCATGATTCGCCAAATATCAGTTAACCCTAGAGTTTTGCACATCCTCTGGACAGTTAATAGGGCTTTAGGAGATCTCAATCCCGTTTTGCTGCTACGGTCCAGGACACCAAGTGTGTTATTTGTGTTTCACTATAGTGACTGGAGTCTTGTTTATTGAATGAAAGTGCTCTCTGCATGACCACTAATTGTACCTTTTATTTAAATTTGTATTTGTTATGCAAAATAAAGTTAGGACAGTGGTCAGCAACACTGGTCCAGGAGATCTAACTTCTTGTGGAGTCTAGTTCCAACCGCACTCTGCAACACCTGCTTCAGCTAAATACCTTTTTAAGAGACACTGATTGGCTGGATCTTTTGCATTAGTGCAGGTAACAGGATGGCAGCAGGTTAAATGCAGGTTGTAAATAAACTCTGCCAGAAAGTAGATCTCCAGTAGGAAGGTTGATGACCCCTGATTTAGAAAATAGGCAAGATGTGTGTAACAGGACATTACTGACTGATGTTTGCTGAGCTTTACTTTTAGTAATTTAAGAAAAGGTTTAAGGAACTGTGTTTGGAGATTTGGTGTGGTAGCAATGGGAAGAAAAAATATAAACATGCTGTGGCATCCTACTCCTGTTCCTGTGCCTTTTCTGGTATAATAACAGAATAGCAGCACACAAGTTGCTTGAAGTTCTAATTTATTTCACCATAAGGGCTTATTCTGATTGAGTAAAGAAACTAACATTAGTATATAGAAAATGTTTGTCCTTTCCAGGTGTCATACTGTGAGGCTGCAGATCTGAGAGCTCACACACAGGGGGAGGAGTACTCTGTCTCAGACTGGTCACCTGAATGATGGAGGTGTTAAATTAATAAATGAAAGCAATACAATTACGTTAATATTGTAAGAATCATTTAGCCTAAAGAAATCTTACTTGTTTGGTAGTAATCATAAACTTTGATCACAGCTGGTTTGAGGTTCTTGACTGGAAGCACTTGTTTAAGATGAAGCTGATAATTCATAGGAGAATTCCTTGGCACCTGTTATACACACAAACACCAAACAAGAGGTATTTTTTTCTATCTGCCATTCTCAAGCATAATAATCATGGTCAATTTCTTAAATCTTTTATTTAGTTATTGAACTTAAGACTTCATCAATGTAACTGCTACATAACTACTTTATATTTACTATGTAACTACTATGAAACTAACATGCAATTTCTGTAAGTTATGAGAGTGAGGAATTGAAGCGTGGACATACAGACCCCTTATAGGGATTAGGCCAGAAACATACTTAATGAAAGTTCGACCAATTCATTCCAAAAACTCGGTCCCTCGGTACAAACTCACCGTGCGATCTCTTGTTATTGTGGCAGTTAAAACACTCAGTACTGAAGAGGGCGATACAGGACAGATCAGAGAGGGATCTACTATTATCCCAAAAGCCTCAACAGCTAAACATGGACAAGTAGAGGAGAGTAAGCCGCTTTACTTCTTCTGTTAGAATGGAAGGGTGATAATGTATCATATTACTTTAAGCACATGTAAGCCATCTTTGTGTGAGACTCAACTGCTCGTCTGCTATGGCAGTTGAGAAAGCACGCTCGCAGTATAAGATTGCTTGGACAGACTTGGCTGTTGCGATAGTGGCCCTTGCTGTGACGCTCAGAATGCAGCTCGCGCTTGCACTGCATTATGAAATGCGTGTGACACATCTTTGAACGCAACTATGCGCAAAATTCCATCTGCATAGCTCAAAGCGTCTGCATTTGCACACTTGCATGAAGTATGTTACTGTGTTGTTTCTCACCTCTTTCATATACATGATAACATGGTCATCTTGGGAATCAACCCGTTCCACAAGGGGACTGTTTTTCAGCTAAAGAAACAATATAATAACCATAATAAGTTGCATATATGTAATGCATATGGAACATACGACCTGACATCCTAACACTGCATAAAAACAAAATGATCTGCCTGCGTTAGAAAAAACAGTACCACTTACAGCATTGGGGTCTGCTGTGAACCCTGATAAGACTTTCATATCCACTATGACCATGTTAGTCCTTTGCAATGCTCCATTATATCTGAAAAAAGTTACGCTCTAAATTTAGTCATTAATTAATAAAATCCACATTTATACCAAATACATCAGGACAGATACCAGATACTACACAGTTTTATTAACAATCAGTAAACCCACCTTGCAGACAGGTTGCAGCTGTATGCCAATAAAAATACATATAGTAATGATTTTATAGTTTCCTCATAATAGATTGATTAATAGATTGATACAATCTTACGTGACTATGAAGTTGATGGACAGAGTTTGGCCAAATGGTTTTGTACAATCTCCTTCAGTTGTAGCCTTGATGCTTAATGTACTGGGTCCAGCAGGTGTGGGGATATTGTAGAAAAGAGCCATCTGCAAGTGAGGATAAAAGAGAACGAACCACAGAAACAGCTTACAAAAAAATAATTTCTTACGCATAGTGGACATTACACAACTTTCAAAATCTCAGTATTACTACACTGCTCACAATACTCCACATTTATCATTTTCAACCTGTTGTTTGTCGATATTTGGCGAGATCCATAACAAAGTAAACTGAATACAAAATCCTGCTGCTTCACAGAAATAAATGTGAAATGTGAATATCACATGCCAAAAGGAGGCTTGAGAAACTCGCTTTAGTTGATGTTTATGCACTAATTTGTGCAGACAAAATAAAGAGGACCAAAAATCTATTTTTAATCATAACAGTATCAAAATCATGATAGCAAGTCAATTTGAACCATGATAGGGGTGTCTAATCTTATCTGCAAAGGGCCACTGTGGCTGCAGGTTTTCATTTCAACAAAGCAGGACTACACATGATCATTTGTTTGACGGCTGAGTCATTGATTCAACTAGTGGAATCAGGTTTGCTCCTGCTTGTTTGGAACGAAAACTTGCAGCCACAGCAGCCCTTTGCGGATAGAATTGGACACCCCTGATGATAGAAATTCAGCCTGAGATAACAACTTGATGTATCTGAATCAAATGTATGTGATACATAGCTCCACTGCTAAACTAAAGAAGCAAACTTCAAACACCACATTAAAGTTTGCTGATTAAACACATGTAAGGGGAAAATTGTGTAAATGTATTGGTCTTCAACTCCTGCGCTGTTTGCTGATATAGGATTCATGTTGTAGTTAGAGTTGTTGTAATTATGTCTTTTGTATAAATTAAGTCTTCATTTATTTACAAAATTATACATAAAATTACATCAGGCAAGCAATTTTACATGCAGTAAGTTCATCTTAAATACTACAGAAATGATACTGTTACCATCTACAAATGATAAGGTACTTTGGTGTTGGAATCAAGTATCCTGTATTATAAATACATGTCTGGCATTTTTAACAAACCAAACTACTTGAAAATTGGTCGAGTTATGATGATTTTAATTGTGTATTTACTGCCTCTATAGACATACATGCATTAGGAGACATGGCTGCCCCATATCAATATTTACAGTTGTAAAATTCTGGTTACAACTGTAAATGTGTTTTATTCTATAAAGTGGTGGAAGTATAGAAAAATGTCTGACACATCCTTTATTTTAGGATTTGCAAAGGACCTACTTACTAGAGGCCACCCACCACTGACATACTTTCTAGCCAGACACAGACACTCCTACTGAGGTCTAATGTGTGATATGCAGTGAACCAGACCACTGTGAGGCATATGAAGAGGGGTGGATGCAATCTTTCAATGCTTAAAAAACAATTGTTTTACATCTATATAATTATATAGTTATGTTTACAATGACATTTTGAGGGGGACAAGTCTATTTTATCTTCTATCTGTCCCCCCTGTAATTGCCATCTATGCACGGCTGGCAATAAAGAAAAATCAGCAATCAACTTATCACTTTTGTTTTGGTCAGTACCTTCAATCAAACTGATGCTGTGTTCAAGCCATAGATAATGCTGAGCAGATGCAGAGTAGAAAGCAAGTAAACAATAGGACACTTTCTGTATGCTTTGCAAATGCTATCTAACATTGGCTAAGTCACATCTTGTCACTGTATGACTTTGTCTGTATAAAATATGCACTGAGCTTCATAGTACCTTGGACATACTGAATGACAGTAACACAGCAACATGAATACTACTCACCAAATGGTACTTTAGAGAGATAGTCTGTTGGAGCAGACAGAGCTATACACACTGACCTGAACAGACACACAGACGGAGCCCTTCACTAAAATTCTGTATTTGCCAGGAACATCCTGCAGTGGTCTCTCCTGGTACAGTAACCTGTTGTTCTCGTTCACATCAAAGTGGTGACTCTCTTTATCTGACTTCACAGTTACTGTGCTGGAGCCATCAGAGCTGAACACTTTAGTGGAGTACAGAGCCAGAGCCTGGAGGGCCACCACTGTGTCCTGATCCAAACACACAAAAATAAGGAATTACACATGCATATGACAACACTGAAGACATGAGAAGGACTGGAATTTGAGTACCTGAGTAGAGGAGAAGCCTCCATAGGGATTCTGCTGCCTCACCAGCCAGCTGACAATCCTGTTCGCATAGCCTAAATCAGCAGCAGTGACTTCAGCTGTAGTCAGAACAGCTAGCAGAACATAGGAGCTGATCTCCACTGCCAAGGAGTCAGAGTCATCTGATGCTGACTGAGACCAGTGAAGGTGGCCATCTGTAATTAAAGAGACACAAAAGTCCAATTAGCCTGTCTAAATATCTTAAGAGATAATAAACAACGCTGCATGACACTAATACAGTCCAAACAGCTTTTAAGGTTAAAAGTTTCACCATGTAACTGTTACAGTTATTCTAAATATTTCATACCTCCTGAAATGGCAACACTATCCAACTTCTTCAGCAGCAGCGCTCGAACATCATGCTCTCCAGCCAGACTGAAAGTGTAGGCCAGCAGTGCAGTGGTGTAGGTGTTTGTCAGGTTGCCAATAGAGGACTTTAAACATGATAACCCTTTACTCACAACAGGATCCTATAAAAATATAAAATAGGTATAGGAAAATGAAACCTTAAGTTACGCGGCAACATCATAAAATCAAAAATCACGTCTCAAAAATATTTCGCATAACCATTCACAAAAATGTTATGATATACACCACCAGCCATTGCTTTAAGACTGCATGTGAATTACAGCTTCCCATGTGTAATCATACCATGACACTGAACTGGTTAACAATGCGCTTATCAATTCAACACTTTTTCATGAATACAGAATACAAAGTGTGAAATATCTACACTATATCACTACACTTTGCCACTGCTTGTTTACTTAATGCCGATAGACAGCAGAGTCTATATCAATCAGTTTGAGGAAACCAGTGGTAGGAAGAAAAAAAAAAGGACCAAGCCCAAAATGGCAGCTTTTAGTAGTGTTAAAATGAAGCATTATTCAGTAAATCAGCAAAAATGAATCAAGGCAAGTATATTTATACAGCATCTTTCATACATTGCTGTCATTCAAAATGCTTTACAAATGAGAAAAGTCATTTAAAAAGTAAAAGAGAATAGAAATTAAAAACGATTAAAATGATTCAAACCTATGATTATGATATGATTTAAAATAGACTTGAAAGAGATGATCATTACATTAAAATCAAATTAGAAATTAAATTGGGATAATTAAAAATTAGTATAATAAGTGCCATTACAGAGGAGAAGGTCTAAAAATGCTAAGAATGTTTTAAACTGAGCTGAAAAGCCTGCTCAAATAGGAACGTTTTAAGCCTGGATTTAAATGCGTCTAATGTTGGGGCTCTTCTTTACCTTCGGCAGGACTAACAATAAAGTGCAGAATAAAATGCTTACAGAAGCTTAATTTGTGTGAAATGCACAACTGAACAGATATGTTTTCAGTCTATTTTTAAAAAACGGTAACAGTCTAAGCACATCTCACATCTTCAGTAGGTTTATTCCAACTGATGGCAATGTACTGGCTGAATGCTGCCTCACCATGTTTAGTTCTGGTTCTAGGCACTGTCAGGTGGTCAGGCTCCACTGATCTGAGGCTTCTTATAGGCCTATATTTTACCAGCATATCAGAAACGTAAGTAGGACCTTGTCCGTGCAATGATTTATAAGCAAGAAGCAGTATTTTAAAATCTATTCTGAAACTGACAGGAAACCAGTGTACTGCTCTGAGTACTGCAGTGGTGTGTTCATATCTCTTTGTCTTTGTTAGCACTCTGGCAGCAGCATTCTGGATGAGCTGCAGCTATCTCACTTATTTTTGAGGAGGCCAGTAAGGAGACCATTACAATAATCTAGCCTGCTGTAGATAAATGAGTGGACGAATTTTTCTAGATCCCTGACATTTGTAAAATGTCTGAATTTTGCTATGTTTCTTAGATGATAAAAAGCTGACTCTGTGATTGATTTGTTATGGCTGTTGAAGCTGAGTTCTGAGTCAATTTGGACTTTGAGATTTCTGGACTTGTGTTTTAGCATTTAAAGCCTTAGAACAGGAAATTAAGACACATCCAGTTATCAATGAGTTTGATGCATTTATACCAACAGTCTACAGAACTGTAGTCGTCAGGTGAACAGGTGATGTAAATCTGGGTGTCATCTGCATAGCCTATGGTAGGCGATTTTGTAGCATTTAATGGTTAAAGAGAAGTGGTGCAAGAGTCGATCCTTATGGGTCTCCATAAGTCAGAGGAATTCACTCTAATTTATTGCTGCCGAGTGCAACAAGGTAATCTCAGCCATATATATATATATATATATAATATATATATATATACACACAATTTGAACCAATTTAGGACTATTCCGGAGAGTCCTACCCAGTTTTCCAGTCTATCTAAAAGAATACTATGGTCAACCGTGTCAAAGGCAGCACTAAGGTCCAAGAGCACCAGAACTGAAATTTTACCTGGGTCGGAGTTTAGATGGATGTCATTTAGGACCTTTACTAGAGCAGTTTCCGTATTGTGATATGGGCGAAACAAGTAAAATAACTTAGTATAAGGTTTGTTTTTCTGTTTGATTTCTTAAAATGTTAAAGTTTTATAGGAAAACTTGCAAACAGACTTTTACAGAAAGAACAGTTAATATTGTTCCACTCAGCAGTGATGGTTACAAACAGTTAAAAAACATTGCCAAGCTAGTTTGTGTTTAATGTGAAACCAAATAATCTCTATAGGAGAGTCCTTGGACTCTAACCAGGCCAAAACCATTAGTAAAAACCATTAGTATTTTGGACATGGCCCATTTTTTTTGCTGAACAGTGCACACAGAATCTTGACAAGACAAAGCTGGAAGCAATGGTTCATGTAAGAGAGATGATGAGAGGGCAGAACTAGGGTGGACAGAGAGAAGGTGTAGCCTTGCTGCTTATCTCGACATAACATGGACTTGCACGCGAATAATGACTGATGAGTTAAGCAGGACCAGGGACTGGAGATGGTCTGGCATTAATAGCCAGACCATGGCTATGGTGGAGTGGAGACGTGACACAGGGACAGGAGACTACCAGAACCGGAACTCATCTGACTCCTCAAAGAAAAGTGGAACAGCAACTTCTGCATGGCCTCTTAGACTGTGGCATCCTTGACTGTGGCGTCCTTGGTGGCTGAGTCTCCTGTGGGAAGCTTGGCGGAAAGTGATCAGCTCTGAGGAGAGTGAGGTATTGTCCTCCAAAGCAAGTTTGTCTGGGAACAGTTTGGCTGGATGAGGCACTATGACAGGAATGGTTGACGTGCAAAATTAGCCATGGTGGTCTAGCTACAAAACAAAAGCTGGAGGTGGAGCACCATTCCCCCTCCTCCCACCTCCCTACAAAGATTTTCTCCTGCGCAGTCTGAAGCCTGGCTTTATTTTCCTGAATCATGTCGCAAAGTTTGAACAAACATAGCATCCAATGGTGGCATAACATTCTGTAATACTCTGCTGCAGCTGAGGAGACAGGATGTATTAGTGAGCTCATTTTATTTGATTCAAGGTGTTTGACAGAAGGAGCAAGTGGATCGATTATGGCAGATTTAGAAACTGGGAGCAAGAAACTCAGACCTGTGACAGAGCATTAAACCCAAAGCCGGGAGACAAGAACAAAACTTAAACTTCAGAACTAGACTACACAAACACAGCGTCACATCACAATAATTCCATGCAACAAACACAAGTGAGACAAGAACTATATACACCAGTAAAATAGTAAGTAATACTTAAGACCTAATATTATGTTGCTTTTTGCTGAGCTTCGATTAGGAAATTCAGCTCTATACAGATACAGACTATAATTTGAACTAGATCATTAATGATCTCACCTTGGCAGTGTTTCCCAGTTCAAGCAATGATGCAGTGATGTAAGCAGTCATGGTCACATCATCATGAACACCACCCTACAAGACATTGGAACATTACATTACTATAACATTAAAAAAAATTCAGAATTCAGTGCTGTGGTATCTAATAACTCACCTTCATTCTGTTGTTGAACAGCCTTCCCTGTCTTATAAAACAGCCGTTCGGTCTCTGCTTACTCAGCAGCCAGTTCTTTGCACTATCAATGTTTTGTGGATCAATAAAGATGTAACGCTGTGCTTTGCCAAAGGTCCTTAGTACAAAAGCAGTTAACCTGGTAGTGGAGATACATTTGCACATGTATGTTAAGTGTCTGTGTACAATAGGTTCAAGCAACACACAGTGATTTACAACAACTTGTAGTATCTTGTCTAATAGCTGAGTGTGTCCTGATTTGCTTTGGGAAGTTCTCACCATGTATTCCCCTCTCCACTGCCAAATGTGCTGTATGCACCATCGCCATGCTTGTAGTTCAGTTGCCTCTGATATCCTGCACAAAAAAATACATTTTATCCTGGTGGCTTCGGCAGAGTCTATTCAGGATTGCTAGTGTCATCATACAATAAATTTTTCATGAAGCTAAGTTCTCTCACCACTCTTAAGGAAAGCAGTAGCTCTCTCACGGATGGCTGCAGTGAGCTGTCCAGTGTTCTCCAGGTACTGAAGAATGTAGATGTTGGGAGAAAGAATAGCAATGTTTTGTTCTCCACAGCCATATGGCATCTTCAGCAGTCCATCAATATTCTTTAGTGCACGGCCCAGTATGTCTCCTACAAAACAACACAGTAATATAGTTTTATTCAGACTATTACACCTGGCAGAATAAATCTGAAAATTATTTGAAATAATCCATACCCAAACCAAATAATTAAACCCTAATATGCATTATGTGAAACTGCAACTGGCTATTTAAACCATTTCAAGCAGCCATAACTCTAAAATACATGTAATGTATATAAAGCTTTGAACCATTTAGCAGGTCAGCAGATGGCAGTTCATGTTGTGCTGTAGTTGTAACGTAGGGGCTGAGGCAGATTGCAAGTACGAAGTGACTTTATTAAGGGCATTCCTATAGTAATTGTCACAGCAGGAAGGTGTCAACCAACAGGCAGGCAGGAAAAGATGCAGAGCCATAATCAGACAACAAAGAGAGCAGCAGGGGTCAAAAATTACTGAAAACTAAACACAAGAAAAAGGCTGAGGACTCAGGTACTGAACACGGGTAGCAGGGTATATGCAGCAGTCTTAGTGAGATCAACACAAGTTGCAGGTGTGTGGGAGGGGAGGAGAGTGGGCGGAGCATGGAAGAGTCAATGTCATTCTCCCCAGAGACTGTCTAGTCATTGAATGTTGATTGTAGTTCCCATTTTTCTGAGATTATTTCGTTCATAGGGGGCATTTAATGTCAATGTGAAGTCTTACCAAGGAGCAGACTTACTAAAAGATGCTATCTACTGATACTTTGCGGTGGTGGGGAGTGGCCAATTTAGTGGCTTATCCACTAAGAATGTCCTTGCAAAAAAACACAGGCACAATTTCATAATGAACATCAGAACAATATAAACCCATTTGGCTTTATGTATGAAAGCCTGTTTCCCAGGCAGGAGAAAAAGAAAACATCATACTTCTATGATTGCGGTTCAAATTGTGACTCATTAGCTCTAAATAATGACTTATTTTCTCATGATTGCACTATAGTGAGTTGACATAATGAAAGCAATGACAGTCATAGTCAAGTAAAAAAATAAAATATTACTCATTGAGGAAAGTACGTGATTACTTTGACTGAGTCCATTTGGAAACTGCGATATTGTAAAATCCCTTTTTAATTTTGGTGAGCACAACCAGGTCGTTTATAAACTGCATGATTTTGAACTTGTAGTGAGAATAACCTCTTAGCTCTGTGCAGCCTATCAATAGCTGTGACATTTCTGCAGCAAAACCACAGTTACAGTAACAAAACAACAAAGTGTTAAAGCAAATTTCAGTAATGCAGGGACTGCACAACCTAAGAGTTCTCAATAAACAGACCCTCTTAAGCAAATCCCTGCATTTTTCATTTCCTCCCAGTATTTTGTCTTACCAAGCACTGAAACAGAAGCTCGTGCTGATCCCTCTATCACATCTTCAGGAAGAACCAGCTCCAGCTCCTCTGAAACACTGTTTCCTGTGAAACAAACAGGCAGCTTTATCTTTATTGCTCCCAGTTACCCAAAAGCTTCTCAGTGTTAAGATCATCTTAACTGATAGAGTTCAGTGTGATGCTCTACTATTCAAGAATTGTCTCTGTGTTAAGATGCTTTTGGAAAACTGTGTGTGCTACAACTATGTGAATACTGACTCATTAATATGAAGGGTACAAGTGTAAAGATTTAAATTAAAAATTCAAATATGTGTAGGACAAACCCTGTGGACATAGCAACCAACTCTGGCTCTTTGTCTTTTCAGTTCCTTCGGCCTACGTGAGAAATTTCTATGATTAGGTCATACTAAGAACAAAAACAACCATCAATTTGTGATTTCTAAGGCTAATTTTTAGTCCTACCTGTACAAGCAGGCTTCGTGTGACTGTGTCAATGCGGCCTCTCTCAGGCACACTCACAATCTCATTGTCACACACAGTCTGTGACTGTTCTGCCTCAGCACTGACTGTCACATTCAAGACCCCTAAAACACATCAAAAGATGCAAACAGGAGTTTATTAGCACTAAAAACAATTCAACAGAAATGTGAGATTATGTCTGAACTTAAGAGGTTTAGAACTCACCAAGCACAGAGGGAACAAGAGTCCATTTGAAGGTCTTTCTACCATTTGCACACAGACAGGATGAATACTCTCCATCAGAGGAGGCTTTCAGAGTGCATTGTGAGGAAGGAGCTGGAGTCACTTTAACCTGTTCGTGAAGCACAGGAGATCAGCTTACTGTGGATGTTAAGTGATGAGACACTGGTGAAGACAGAAAATGTTGATCTTACAGTACCATAATGCACTTGGAGAGATAGTTGAAGACAGTGGCCTTCAGCTCAAACTCCTCTCCCCGGATGATGGAGTAGGGCAGCGAGAGCTCCAGGAAGAACGGCTGGAAGACACGAAGCTGAGCAGGAGGAGCCACTCCCAGACCTCTAGAGGACAGACAGAAAGTGTCCGTCTCCCAAGTGGTGATAGTGTCAGGAACGGTGACAGGAAACTGTGCTGATCCAGAGTCTCTGTGGAAAAGCAGCACTGACTCTGTTTATCTTTAATCAACAAAATAAGTCAATAACTATATATACATAATTCACTCCGTAGCAGTAAAGTTTATTATAAATCAAATATGGCACACCAAAATATCACTCTTAAAAGAAAAGCTTCCTAAATGGTTCTCAGTTTTTAAAAAGCCTTCAATTAGCTGTAGGGAACCCTCCCTGTCTAGGCCTTTAAAGATGGTCTAATGATTTTTGTATGAAAAATTACAAATAAATCTCTGTGATTTTAGTTCATTTGGTGCATAAACTCAAGTATTGTAGTAATTCTCTCATTTTATTGTTAAAATTTGTTTGGAAACAAAAGGGTTAAATTATTAAAAAGTCCACTGGCAAATTTTTCAGTTCAGGATTTTTTTTTCTCCACAGTATCTGGGAGTTACAACCAAGCAAGCTCTCCCATTATTTAGACCTTCAGGAACCAGGAACTGAACTTACATAATCACTAACATAATGAGGAAGTGACAGTGGAATTAACCAATCAGGTTTTGATTTCCAGTGGGTGGGACCAATTTTATGAGAAAAAACAAAAATTTAAATTCTATAAAGATTCTTAAAGATCTATCCATGGCATCACGTCTATGTTATTGCTCCAAATATTTTTTGGAACCTTTATCTTTAAGAATGATATGCTAGTAAAATTTCTTAAGGACTGATATTCACAGCATCATTTAACAACTGAACATAACCACACAACACAATGTATAACATCAAGGCCAAGTGAAAATATGTCTGCATGAGATACATTAGCCCCATCATATTATGCTTTTTCCTCAGTTATTAATCATAATACTGATTCAGAAACTACTATGACACTACAATGCAAGTTTTACAGTTAAGAGAGTGAGGAATTTAAGTAGGAACTTACATACACATTACATTCTTTAGGTTTAGGAAATGAACCTTAATTACTTTATACCACATCAAAGAACACATTAAATTGAAGTACACAAAAAAGTAACCATGAAGTAAAGTCACTAACCCCACTTTTACAAGTTGCCATAACCAAGTTTCTGGAAAGAATTTGCGTACTGTCTCGATGGACTTGATGGTTGAACTATGCGCCGGTAAGGGTTTTTCATCAACAAAGTGCTGCACACTGTCATCTGTTAGGCTGTAGGCTGACTCTAATTCCAGATCTGCAATTAAAGTGAATAGCTGAAAAAGAACATACGTCATATATGATTATACAGTTGTATGATGTATAATCATATATGATTATACATCATACAGCTGTCAACGGTTCTCACTGTTTATTTCATCCCAGTTACTCCCTGTCCAGTCACCACTTATCTTATGTCTCCACTACACCCTGTTTCCTCCCTAGTCCCAGCTTGTCAGTCATGCTTATCACCTGTGCTTTGTTAGTCTCCTGTGTATAAGTAGCCCCTGTTTCTTCATGTGCACCAGGCCTTGTGTGTTTACTACTTAAATATGTCTATTTATCTCTATAGTCAATTTTATAGCCTGCTCTTATGTTTTTTTGCTCTGTTTAGTCTCTTTCACTGTTTATTTATAGTTTATTGTTTGCTTCTCCAGTGTTGTTGCTTATTATAAATAAATTCTATTCTCGTACTTACATCGGCTTGCCATCAGCATTTTTTTTTTTAACTCCTTAAATGGCCAGGGCCCTCCTGTGGGCCCAAAGTTTTATTACACACTTAAATACTCTAAGAATAGCTCAGACAGTTTGTTTTAAAGTCCCTGTAGTTACTGAATAAGAATTAAGGATTTTAAGGGGTTAAAGTTCTTGTTTATTTCTATGAATCCAAAAAAATCAATAAAGAATATTCTAATAGTCTTGATGTTACTCATTAATGAAACAATTCATGAATAAGTTGAAAAAAGTCTGGACATACCGTAGGAATAATAATAGTTATTAACACATTTAGTGTCTTTTACAGCCAAGTTAGTCGCCATCTTCAGCCCCACACTCTGTCAGATGATGAAACGTCATTATTCAGTATAGAATGGCACATGAAATGTGTGACAGTTTCAAATTGCATAGGTTTATTTTCTAGCAGAAACAGTAGATTTTAGATTTGATTAGGACTAGTTAAATAATATTTGTAACACACATATTTACACAATCATTTACACCACATGTGACAAGAAGACATTGTTACCTTTAAGGTATTGTGAACAGGATGTTTCTCTGTCGTCTGGTAGGGATAACACTTGAGTTCATCTTCAACTTCAAAGACATAATCTGATACTAATTTCGCTGGCAACAAATCGAAGACCTATTAGTATGAAAAAAAAATATATTTGCATTATATAGCTACACTATGTCTGAGAAAAACTTTGTGTCAGTTTTGCCTGAAAGAATAGAAATTTGAAAAGAAAGAAAAAAAACAAAAAACCTTCTAGTTTGTTGCTAATGTACTAGTGTAATTCTTAACTGTTACACTTTCACATCTCAGTATCTGCGTGCTGTGGCTTCACATTTGTCCTGTCCTCACTTCTGTTATATCTGATCTAAAGCTACAATGAACTTCTAAATGTTTATTGCAGAGACCACAAACACCATCCAGCAGCAAACCAAGCTCTGTTCACTCCAGTTATGGAAAAGATACTATAAACTGAAACATACACTATATGGAGTGTTGTACTGAGACACAACTCTTAATCATTGAATTCAGGTGTTTCATTCAGTCTCATTGCCACAGTCGTACAAAATCAAGCACCTAACCATGCAGTCTGCCTTTACAAAGATTTGTGAAAGAATGGGATGTTCTACAGACCTCACTGAATTCGAGTGTGGTACTGTAATAGGATGCCACCATTGCAAGTCAGTTCACGAAATTTCCTCCCTCCTAGATATTCTACAATCTTGAATGAAAAGTGGAAGAATTAAGGAACCACAGCAACTCAGCCATGAAGTGGCAGACCACGGAAAGTTACAGAGTGGGGTTGCCAAGTGCTGAGGCGCATAGTGCATAAAAGTCACCAATGCTCCAGACCTCCTCCAGCAATTAACATCAGCACAAAAACTGCCCCGGAAACTTTATGGCATGGGTTTCCATGGTCACGCAGCTGCATGCAAGCCTTACATCACCAAGCACAATGCCAAGCAGCAGATGAAGTGATGTAAAGCACGCTGCCACTGGACTCTGGATCAGTGGAAATGTATTTGGATAGGAGAACGTTGCCTGCCTGACTGCATTGTGCTAACTGTAAAGTTTGGTGGAGGAGGGATAATGCCATGGGGTTGTTTTTCAGGGGTTGCCGTAGGCCCCTTAGATCCAGTGAAGGGAAATCTTAAAGCTTCTGCAAACTAAAACATTTTGGATAATTGTATACTTCCAACTGTGGGAAAAGTGTGGGGAAGGGCCTGTTCTGTTCCAGCATGACTAAGCCCCAGGACATTTTAATACAGCTGATGTAATGACTCAAACATGTTTTTTGTTGCCTGGCTCTGCATTTACATACCTCTTGTCATGCATGTCAATTCCTTGACTAACTATTTATACATTTAGTCACAGTGAAAATTTTTTATTGCTTATAATCGCTCTGTCATGAAGAACTTGCAGAGGTACATTCCCCTCTTCAAACACCTCCAAAACTCAACCACATCTTCAAGTTCTCACACTAACCATTAATCTTAAGGGAACATTTTTCTTACCTTAAATTATCCTAAAGCAAAAGACAGCTAAGTAACTTTATGCACCGCTTGAGGGATTAAATACTGACCAGCCACTTCATTATGTAGACCTCCTTGTTTCTACTCTCACTGTCCATTTTACCAGCTCCACTTACCATTTATGAGCACATTGTAATCTACAATTACAGACTGCAGTTCATCTGTTTCTCTACCTAGTTTAGTCAGGACCAAGACAGGACCACCACAGAGCAGGTATTATTTAGGTGGTGGATCATTCTTAGCACTGCAGTAACACTGATGTGGTGGTGATGTGTTAGTGTGTGTTGTGCTGGTATGAGTGGATCAGACACAGCAGTGCTGCTGAAGCTTTCAAACACCTCACTGTCACTGCTAGACTGAATCCACCAACCAAAAACATCCAGCCAACAGTGTTCTGTAGGCAGCGTCCTGTGACCACTGATGAACAACTAGAGGATGACCAACACAAACTGTGCAGCAACTGATCAGCTACTGTCTCTGACAAGGTTGACCAACAAGGCAGGAACATCTAATAGAGTGGACAGTGAGTGGACAGTGTTTAAAAACTCCAGCAGCACTGCTGTATCTGATCCACTCGTAACAGCGCAACACCACCCAAATAATATCTGTTCTTTGGTGGTCCTGTGAGGGTCCTGACCCCTGGAGAACAGGGAGAAAGAGGAATAATAAAGAAGGCAGAGAAATCGGTGAAGACAGTGTTTAAGTGTAGGACTACAAAGTGCACCTTCACGGTAAGTAGAGCTGATAAAATGGACAATGAGTGCAGAATGAAGGAGGTGGTTTTAATGAAGTGGCTGCTCAGTGTATAAGGGAAATTTGATTGTTAAGGGAAATTGTAAGGATAGGTGACAATTTCACTTAAGGAAACTCTTATGTACCACCTAAGGGTTTTTTTTTGCAGCACACTTAACCTGGTAAAATACTTAAGCTTAAACCTAAGGGAAAGTTCAGCTTGAAGTGTTTTATGCAACTGGGCACAGGGTCTTTCTTTGTAACGTACAGGATTTCCCTGGAGACCAGGGACACAAGGAGACAGGAGGTAAGCACTAGTAATGTGCTTTATTAAAATACTCAGATTATTGTGATGACAAGAAACATCAAGATAAGGTGATGGTTGTGGAATCCATGAAAAGTTAAACAGAAAACAAACAGGAATAATAAAACAATGCTGAAACAAACACAAGAACTACAAAAAGGACTGGAAACTAGAAAACACAGGGAAATTAGAAATGAAGAAAAAACTAACCTCAAAACAAAGGCAATGCTTCAAAAAGAGCTGTATTGAATGGGGAACATTAATCTTTAAAGGAAACAAGAACCAACTGTGGACAACAACAAAAAGGAAGAGCATCGAAGTATGAGGAGGAAGTCGAGGTGGAGGAAGTACCACACCAGGAATTAGGGAGGAGCAAGGGTAAAGAATGGAATATAAACAAAAACACATGGACAAGGCAAAGTAGAATAGCAAAAAAATCAGATACAAAAGGTACAAAAACAAGAACAGACAAGTGGAACATACTGGATGAAATGTTACAGAAGCCCCCTCTTCAACGTGCAACTCCTAATGTGTGAAAACAAATATGAAAATCAAATGCACACTGGGAGCTGGAAAAGAAGAGTAATCCAGAAAAGTACACGAACATAAAGAGAACAACGACTTTTAGGCAGTGACTTAGCAGAGGGTTGGACATGTTTGGACTGGGCCTGGGACTGAACGTAACAGAACGGACAGCTTTGTACAAAATATACTCTGCATGATTAGTAAGCAGTTTCCAAATTACTCAATTTTAATGTGAGTTGGTCCTCAGAGTATCACCCCTTGGTAAATGGCCAAAGTAGTCAAAGTTAGGCTCTTGAATCAACAAAATGAATTTTTTAATCTTTTCAGAATCTTTTCAACAAAACTGAAGCTATTTGTTGCCATAGGTGGTGTATGCACAAAAGTCTGTTTCAGTGTATTTTAAGGTATCAACCACTGTTCTTCCCCTGGTCTGACCAACTACCTGATGTTCTGGCCATGAATGACTGAATAAGAAATAATGAGCAAATATGGGGAAACTACAGCCAGACACACATCATGACTGAGACTAGGCCAAATGTCGTAGCTATCAGCTATCATAACACCTATGCCTTCCTGTGCCCATGCACATTTTGTTGTCCCTTTTTAGATTATGAAACAAGTTAATCATGTCCCTTGTAGACTTCAATTGCACTCTCATTATCTTATCTGGCCTTCAATTCATGTTTTTCTATTGAAACATGTGTCTTCACTGGCATGCAGCTTCAGATGTTGATGTTGCTGTGGATATTGGGCAAGAGAAAAACACCAAAGTTCACAGTCTGAATGGCCTATAACTGAGACACGTCTCTTTTTACTGTTTACTGACAGAAGAACTCTGAAGTCTGAATACCTATATGTACAATGGCCTGCCTTCATGAAACTTCTCAAAGTTGGAGTACTGATCTAGGATCAGATTCCTCTCTTATCTAATATGACTTTACTAACAGGAAAAGATCCTAGATCAACAGTCCTACAACAGCTTTATGTGCCCATGAACCACATCCCAGAAGGTTTAAAACTATGAATGTTCAGCAAATCTGAACTTTACCTTGTCAGCATTCAGGCGTTTTCCTGGTTCCATAATGAAAACACTCTGATCCACAGCACTGAGTCCACACAGTGAACCAGGCAGAGCTGAAAGCTGGAGAGTGTTTTCCTCACCAGGAACTGCCTCAGTGGGAGAGAACTGCAGTGAGACCTGAAGATCATGATGGAAACATGTTTATATTGCTTTTTCCACAGTAATGATGACAGATTGCAAGCCACCAATTATCCTAAAATACAAAAACAAAGATATAAAGATCCAAATGTGTTAGCATTACCTTGTGTCTGAAGCATTTTTCAACATTAAAATTCTTGCTAGCAGCGATGACGTTCTCACTGGGCAGCACACAGTACACCAGAACCTGCACTACAGGAGCCAGTTCAGCATCAACAGACAGTTTGAATGAGACTTTTCCCTCTATGAGCTTTTTGGATTCTTTCACCTCAACTTTCTCATATCCATGATGGACTATGGCTCCTTTAGACAAGACCTGCACCAAAGAACCAAAATTCGTCATACTGACAAATAATCAACTACACTTCATTTCAAGCTGTCTAATTGTAAATATTCACTTACATACAAAATTACTGTGTGTCCTTACCGTGTATATAATATCAGTGCTGTAATTCTCTGTGGTTTCTCCAACAATGTAGTATTTAATATTTATGTAAATTTCTGAACTACATGGAATCGGTTCCTTTAAGCTCTCTATTGATAATTCACTATGCACAGGACTGTAAGGTGTAGCAGGTTGGAGGAGTGGTATTTGTGCTTCACTGAACGTAAAGAAAGGTTTTTTGTCTTCCTGGTATAAGTTGTCTGGATAGACACTTGCCTAAATAACAATGAAACAGGAATTTACTTTAGTGAAAAACAGTGTAACAGAAACTCTCAGAAAATATTTGGTCATCTTACCATACCAGTAGCGAAATCTGTGTTTGAGGATGATCAGACATATTTACTGAGAAGCTGGCCAATCCATTAATATCTGTAGTAAGATGTTCAAGTAGCTTTGGAGACCACCTATGACCTTCCAAAAGGTACACTTTCTTGTTAGGTACTGGCTTTCCACTGAAGGTTGAAACTCTGATCTGTTGATCAGTGAAAAACACACACACACACACATTTTTGAAGCCGCTTATCCTTCTGGGTCGCGGGGGTGCAAAAAATACATCTGTTATCAAATTGTCAATTCCAAAAAAAAAGTGAGAACCACACATGCACAACAAATGAAAGTACTAAAGAAAGACGTATGTAAAAGACTCACCTTTCCCTCTATAATTGTGTCCCGTTCAAAGTTTTTGGGTAAATCAAGAAACTCAGCTTTACCAATTTCATAAGTAATTTCTATAGATTCAGATTTTTCCATGGAAATGTCTAGAACAAAAATAAGCACGTTACTATATACATAATAATGAAATGCACATTGTTTCTTTATAGTGATCTGCTATTAGTGTGTTTCTCCCTCAAGTATACTTTCCCTACAGTATGTGTGAAGACTCACCTGCTCCTTCCTCTGTCACCGTAACAGTAGCGTCAAGAGAATCTTTCAAATATTGTTCAAATTCAGAACTGATGAAATGCGACATGTTGAATACAGGAGAGGCACATCCATTCTCTTTCATCTACAGGAGAAAAAAAAACTTGTGAGAACTGTCTCATTAGTCAGAAAAACTGTATTAGAAACATACACACCTCTACAGTTTCAACCAGGCACGGTGAAATCATGGCACCACTCCGAGGAAAATACTGTGTAACTTTCCGGCACACTTGCACCAGAGCTTTGCCAGGTACTGGCTGTCCATAAGTGTACCTTCAAAAATATACTGTTTTAAGCTAGGCAGAGAGAATATATACAGTACGGCATTTTTCATATCATACATATACATTCATATACACAGTGTACTTTGTTGTTTGAAAATCATTCTGCAAGAATTTAAAGCAGTGGTACCCAAACTGTGACACATATTCAGGTTCTGACTTTAATCTTGATTTAATTTCATTCTGTTATCTGGCCAAATTCTAACATGAGCATATCTTAGGATGCTAACTTTAATCAAAAGTAAACGCCAGATTTTTGCATAGCACTGTGTGTACAGTCAAGTTGTAGTTAAGATCACTAGAGGGGAGTCAGAGTCAAGATCAAGACCTGGACACATGAAGTCTGAGTCAAGACCAAGGCCAGAAGTGGCTGGTCTTAGTCAGAGAGAAAAAGACAGCACTGAGCCCAGGTTTTTTTTTTTCTAGAATATACAAACAAAAAGAGGTAAGGTGGAAAAATTACATTTGTTTGTGGTTAACTGTAAACTCATTATCATTCATTTTACCTATATATATGTATCATAATTTATAATGTATTTTGTAAAATATATAATTCAGTAATATATATCCTACATTAGGATATATATTATTATTCTCTAAAACAAAATTTAGAACCACCACCTAAAGTCAGCTGAAGTTAAGCCATCATGGCAGGGATCATTCAGATTCTCAACCAGCAGCAAAAGATTTTATTTACTTAATTCACCAGAAGTCTCAAATTCAAATAAACTAATCATGTAGTCTTTTCGAAGGAGGGCCTGTAGAAAAATACTTACCTTATATTTTTCATAACCCAAATATGCACTCATTTACCACATCTTTGTCAATGCTCAGCCAGTTTACTTGCTTATTATTCTATTTTTATTCATGACATGTCTAAGGCAGTGTTTTTTTGTTTCTTTTGGCCTACTGAGCATAGGGCAGGCTTCTTTTGTCCTGTTTTTTGTTCTTTGTTGGGGTTCGTGTTCGAGTTTAGATTTTGTTAGTTTTGGTGCCTAATCTGACGAAGTTCGGGTGGCTCATGTGAATGTCTTTATTCCCTAAACTTTAATACAGATTATTTTGTGTAGTTTTTATTCGTCACGGTGTTGAGCCAGTCATGACATCAATATATGGAGTCCAATAAACAGTGTTCAGAAAACTTCACACAGAACAGCAGACTGGCATGGGACTCTTATTATGACAGCAGTGGTGTTTCTGCTCAATGCAGGTGAAGTTTTTGCAAGTGTAGTGCTGCGAATGAGAGCAGTTAATTCTGCATTCTCAGTAGATTTGTTTCATAATTCGGTTCATTTCTTAATTCTGACATGCTGTAATTACCGCTGTGAGATAAATGAATCAGCCAGGTGGAAGACCAGCAGCTTGTACTTTGAGACCCCTGATGCAGAGAAAGGACTGTTTTTTGTTTAAAGGTTTTGTTGATATTCAATAATGTGTAACGAACACTGGCTGAAACTTTACCCCTAGGTTAGTGTTTCTAACGTATCAACAACCCAAAGTTAAGGGCCTTTTGGCTCCAGCAAGTCTGGAGTTGAGGTGTAAATCTGTCGGCTTAACACCCCCCAACCCCAGACTCAGTCAGATTTACAGCCGAATCAAGAACCAGCTCCCCTCTCCCTTGACCTAGAGGGCAACAGGACAACGCCTCCCTGGGATATTGGCCACATGGCCCTCCAAAGTCCTGTGGACAACTTTATCTTAAGTAACAGAAAGTACATTTCTAAGGTATATGTCCACTTCAAACTGCAATCATTCATTAGAACTCTTTTTAACTAAACTAGACATACCAAAAACTGAACTCGTACGACTTTGGGCGGCAAAATTCCAATGTTCTGAATTCCCTAGGGATCTCAAGCATGGACCCACAGCACCCCCAAGGGGTGAAACTGCAAATTACCACATTACCACCGTAAGGACTTGTGCTTATAAGGAACACGAGAAACTTCTTGCTTTGTCTGCTTGATTATCAACATTTATATAATCTGTAAGCAATACTACTTGTTGTATTAATCTTGTTGTTGGGTAGTACCTAAATATTACCGGTATCTTTTTCTACTATTAAGCGCTAGAAATACGTAGAGTATAACTTTGATAACAGTCAGACCCAACCATTGAATTGCTATGAGTTTAGACCATTGACCAATATGTATCCTGAATGTGGTTTTCTTTTCTTTTCTTCCTTTGTTCCTTTCCTTTTATTGTCGATTTTATTTTTCATGCATTGGGTCATGTTCAGATACGATAGTACCTGTGTTCTTTGACATGTTGTGTATCAGGTAACAAGGCTTACACTCTCTCTTAGAAACATGCCTGAATATCCTAGTTGTTCATTCCTTGATTTTGAAAGTTAAACCAATTTGATGATATAGAAATGTTTCTTTTTCTTTGTTTAAACTAGCTGAAACAAAGGAGGCAGTGATTCTGGGGAAGGCATTCCTAAATTATGCACAACCAATCAGAGTTGGAAACAATGAGTAGCTAGTAACCTTAGGTGAGGAGAACCTATCAGCACTCTGGCTCCACCTCCAAAGGGTAGGGCCTCCAGCCGAGCAAAACCAGAGTGCACCGCAAATTTGGGTAGAGATTCCTGCGTTCGGAACAAAGAATAGCTAAGTTTCTAAGTTTGTGCTGGCCTTGGTCAGAAAGGCAGGTCAGAAGTATTAGAACGCTAAATTTTCAGATCTGAAACCTTTGTTTGTTTTGTAACTTGCCTGTTCGTCTACACACCTTAAGTTTAAACCACCCTCAGAGAAGGAAGGTGGATATTTCTTGTCTGGCCCGGGAGAATATATCCATAACTTTCGAGTCTGCTAAAGAGAGGTAGTTAGTTAAATTAGTAACACCAGCCTCAGAACCCTGATTGCAACCTGAACCTCGCCAGCGGAGTGGGAGCAGTTCTGACGCCACAGAGACCCAGCATTGCACCCAGAGCCACGCACTGATCTGTGAACAGATTGACCATCGAAAGGCTGCCCAAGCTCCACCGTCAGACGGCCACGAGACGCCTCCGCCCAATCACTGACGGAAAGGCGCGTGTCTGCACGGAGATGCAGCATCCACGGCCAGTGAGGAGAGGAACCACCGCGTGAGCTCCAGCTTTCGGTCGAGTCTGTCCTGAGACGACCCTGCCTGAAGTCAGCCCCCGACTCCAACGTAAGCTGGCTCCATCAATTTGCAGTCAGGGCCCTGACGCCAATTTATTTAATAAGAGAACTTTTATAGGTACATCCAGCTATCACTTTGTTTTGTTTGGTTTTCTGGTTTTATTTTCTATTGTTTATCATTGAATGTAGTCCAAAAGTAGTTTGATATTTAGCCAATAAATTCCCTTTTCTGAAGCATCCTTGATGCGAGTGTTTTTCTCTCTTGCCCTGATCTGTAGACTTCAAATAAATCCGGGTTACCTCACACCCTCACATAAGGTTCTAGCAATAATAATGTTAAAAATTGCAAAACCCGTTACAAATGCTAAAGCAAAGTTCAGTTTCCAGTTTTCTTAGATGGAGAATTTGCACTTGGCTGGTTTCGACAACAATGTCTGAGTTCACCTTTCCACAAGACAGAGACAAGACAGAGACACAATGTTGTCAAGACCAAGACAAGACTGACTTCATTTACACTCTCAAGACCAGACTTGTGTACCACAACGCTAGTGTAGAGTATCCTACCCTGGCAAATGCTGTTAAATGTCAACATATTAACATGTCATGTCAACAAAGTCATTCTCTACACTGAAATTAGTTTGAAAATTGGGTGGAATTCCCCTTTATTTGATAGAGGTTTCTGCTACATCACTAACACATGCCTAGTAGTATACCATAGTGTGAGAGATAAAGACAAAAGCTGCACATTTCAGTTGCTGAATTGTAATTTGAAAGTTAAAGTTGACTTCTGTTGCATTTTTCAAATCTGCAACATTCAAGTTCATCTTTTCCTTCAAGCCAATGTTTCCCAGCTTCCGTTCTGTTGTCTGTCTGCACTGCACAGTTCATTGTTTTCTCTGCACCTGAGCCACATGACTAGCTAATGATCAAGTCCTTCAGAAGACGAATCTGGAGGGTAAAAGAAGAAAACACTACACTGTGCAGAGCAGAAGGTCTACAGGCCTGGAGATGGAAAGAACTCTTATAAAGCATTCTTGCCAGCCTCTTTGTCAAGTAAATTTTAGCTTATTTACCTTAGTCTTTTGAGCTGGAGAACCACATCTGATGAGAGAAAGCAGGGGCAGTTAAGCAGGTTGGAGGCGGAGGAGTAAGAAGTAAGTGCTGACAAAGGGAGCAACTCATGCACATGGAGAACATCCAGCAGGAAAAGCAGCAGCATGTCCAGAATGTGTGGGAAAACAGGAGCAGCTATACACCCCTAAGGATAAGGTTTAGTTTTGACTGCCCATCCCTTTACTCCCTCTGTGTGGCCCACTTTCCTGTTCTATTCGGTCTCTGCGTAATGGTAAAAAAACGCTCTGTACATTTTATTGTGTGGGGTGTTTTTACAGTGCTCAAAACTGATCTGGTAGTTACAGACATACTTGATCAGGAATTTGTCTGTATGATCATTATAAATGATTATTTGTCATTACTCTGGTTAATTGCATGCTAACTGCATCTTAAATTCTTTATCTTTAATTTTGTATGTGTTTATTTGTTTTTATTTTTTAAGCAAACGCTCCCAATTTAAAAAAAAAACATTTGCATAATTCTGTCACTGAGATGTAATCAGTCATTTAGAGTGGTTTCTTTACAGAGATGAGAAATGCTGGCTTAAAAGAAGAGATGAACTTGAATCATGCAAATTACAAAAAAAAATAAAAAATAAACAGAACCCACTTAAACTCTCAAATTTACAAGTTAGCACCTGAAATATGCAGTTTTCGCATTTATCTCTCACACTATGATATACTACTAGGTCAAAGGTTGGCAACCCAAATCATTTTGTCCTTTCAACAGAAATCAAACCACATGGGGATTTGATGTCCATTTTACCATCTTGGCTGTAAATATGTCTCAGTAAATACTAATGTACTAAAACAAGCAGACTTTGCTCTGCTTTAAGCTTTAGCTCAGCTACAGTTGCTTTTCTCCTGCAGGAACTTCTCCTCAAAAGTGCGATAGTTTCTTGTAAAATGTATCTTAACATTCAATTTTTAACGAGGCTGAAGTCGCTTCTCATTCACCAGCTTCTTGTTCGAATTTTCCTGTTCCACCTTAAATGGTGCCTGAGGTGGCAGAGTGTAACTGCTGCACCATTTAAGGTGGAACAGGAAAATTCGAACAAGACAGTTTGACATTTTTTCAGTGTAACTGCAAAACTGCAGTGTAAACATATCAGGAAACCAGCTGGAGTACTTTTTACTGTCTTTTCGTTAGCTATTAGCTAGGCGAGATTTCTGTCTGCGTTGCTATGTGACCAGCAGTCTGCGTGCCAATTTTCAGGGTTAAAGGTTGGTGAATTAGCATTAACTCCAGCATTTAAGACCATTTATTGTTAAAACTGTGCTAGAATGATCAGCAGAGCTTTATTCTACTACAAACTTACCTAAAAGTATAATCCTGCCACCACAGGCCAGTAAAAGAGCCACATGTTGCCGACCCCTGTATTAGGTGTACAGTGATGCAGCAGCAATCTCTTATAATTAAAGCGTAAATTCACTCAATTTTCAAAAAATCTGTATAATTCAATCTTAGAGATGTAAACAAAGTCATTCAGAGTGTTTTGATGTGAAATAGTTCATTGCAGAAAAACGTACAGACTCAAATTTCTTTATAGTGGTGGTGATGTCACAAAACTTTCTCATAAAATTTTCATAAAACAATGCCTCAAGGCATCAAGCTTTGTGTTTATAATCATTTGGTGTGACTGTAAAAGGGTTGGGACACTAAAACTGATCACCAAATAAAATAAGAGACTAAAATAAAGGGCAGTTATTTCAGTTTCTGTTTTATGTTTGTGATTCACTCTTGAAACCATCACTTACTTTGCACAAACCTCAATCTTCAGTTCCTCCTCACCAACACTCTGTTTTTCAGGCACTTTCGTTGTAATCTCAAACCTGGGTAAAACTAAAAGTCCAAATCGATTTAGTATTGCAGACAATTGCACAGCTTACCTCATTGTCAGTAGAAAAAATAATGTAATGCTGTCACTTACCATACTTGTTCACTTTAAAGTTATGTGTGATTGACCTATCCCCAATGTTAGCCTTCAGTTTATACAGGCCCTCAGGAGCTTCAGGATTCAGCTTGTGTGAAAGCTGCACTATCAGGCCTGTTGAGGACATATTTGTCCACTGACCGATCCTGTTACCATTATTATCCTGTTTGGTTCCATAAAAGATTTAGTTTATTTAATTGCAATGACAGTATGAAAGAAGCACTGAACAAGGGTTAGGAAATTTGTAATACAATGTGTGGATCCATCTTACCTCAAGAGTCAGTATGCTGTACTATAAAGGAGAGTAAGACTGAGCATGAGGTTTTTTTTTTTATCCTTTTGAAAAAGAAACTATCAAAACATCTCTAAAATCCTTAAACATAATAAAAAAGAGCAGAACATCTTCAGCACAAAAGAGTGGGTAAAACTTTACTAAAGTGCTTATGAAAATGACATTGTACGATGCTTATGAGCAATTAAATGGAAATACATAATAAACACACAATCACTCTTTCTAAATGTATTGTTCGATTTAATTAAAGATCACAAAATTTCTTCCCTTACCTCTTGTTCAAGTGGGACAAAATCAGCATCCAGAGTGACAACTCTGAAATTCACTGTAAATGGTAAGTAAATGTCAGATTTTAAACTGCACATTGAGTAACAAACATGTTTCCATTAAAGGAATACTCCAGCACTAAAACTTGGACTCTGTCTCTGGGGTGGAGCACTGCACAGCTCCAGCCCTCAGTTCTGCTGCATCTGTAAAATAGTCAGTTTCTAAAAACAATAATTTCAATGTGTCTACCTGTACTAGAAAAGAAAGCCTGTTAACATTAAATACACTAATAGTAAAAGCAATCTGGCAGTTTCTGAATTTATCAGTACAGGTTTACTCCTTCAGGAAAGCTCTCTGTAAATATGTGTATAATTAGCTTTTCCAGGGATGAGGCTAGGATAATGGAGGGAAGAATTTGTGGCAATACGGTGTTAGTGTAGTGGTGTGGAGGGGATTTTTACAAAATCTCCTGATTGAGCATGCATACCAGAAAGCATTAGGGAAGGTGAATGTGACCTCATTTTGGTTACAGTGTTCAAAAGTCTGAAAAAACAAGTTCATTCCTTTGCCAGAGTTTAATCCTACATTCGTACTTGCAGTGACCTTTCGCCTCTTGTCGCCTAAATAGGCCCTTTTCACATTTCCACATTTTTTCTGCTGGAAGTACTGGTTGCAGGGTTACACTGCTTCCACTAAAACAACATTAATAGTGATGGTCTTTGTGGAAACTGTCTACAGTGGCATTATGGAGCATGACGACGCCCTGTCGGTATGTGTGCATGTTTAGCTTTTTGCCAACTAGTTCAGTGTTAACAAGCTGATTCAACATCTCCAGCTATCATGGCTCAATTTGGTTATAGTTATTTCCAACAATTATTTTTTTTTCACTCTGTAGCGTTAGCTAACGTTATCGTACCCTGATAGCTGTGAAGGAATTATTCTGCAAAGCATTTACGTTCTTTATTCAGCTTGGACTAAGGCTGGCGTACACCACATGACTTTTAAAATCTTAACAGATTAACGAGGTTAGGCTACAAATAAAAATTTAAACTCTCAGATCTCCTCAGAGATCATATGACACAAACAAAGCTAAACTTACGGGAGCTGATTAAAATGAGGTTGAGAAACACTGATATTAATATGAGAGTTGGAGAAATATTTCACTACAAACTGGCAGCTGACTTGAAATTGTAAAGAGAGCGTCTTGACTTCTGGATCCATACATTATAAACATGATAACAACTCTTATCTTCCTGTGTTTTACACGCAGCTGCTCTGTCTCTGCGCTCCGCTGTTCGAACTCATCTCTTTGCCTGTTTCTCCACTCTTCTAGCTCTCTGATTGGCTGCTGTTTAAATCACTCACTTCATCTTTGACCTTCTCACACTAAAAATAATTCGTAAATATCAAACATGTCTGATAACATCGGAGGACCTCCAGTCACTTCGATCAGAGGGCTAAAGATTCACTTGTTCTTCCTCTCACACTACCAGATCATCCGTGCCGTCAGGCGCTTTTGATCAAGCTCCCAACATGGAAAATCGCTTCAGACTGCAAAAATTTGCCGCAAGGGGTAAACTGGGCATAAAATCGGGCAAAAAATAATGTAGTGTAGGCCCAGCCTAACACATTGTTGTATGTTTGGTGCTCCCCAACAATTCTGAATACACTCTCAAATTTCAACCTGGTAAAATGATACACTTTCCATGCTGAGTTCAAGTGACATGAAGGCCAGTATTTCAGTATATTCGGTTAATAATTATCTGTAAGGAAATAACGGAATTTGTTTAAGTGGGTATTTACGCACTTCCTTTCCTTGTAAGGAAGGGACTATCGCTCATCGCTTGTGGGCGTCTCTGAACTCCAGCTGACCGCTGGTTGGCATTATTTCTCTTACAGGAACCAAAAAGGGGACATAACATTTCACAATATTATAATAGAGCTTCTGCTGTTTTCCGTTTCTAACAACCAACTGATTAGGCAGCTGGTTGTTTTCACAGACACATATCTAGGACCCAGCTTGACATTTTTTTCTCACAAAATTGGTCCCTCCTACTGTATATCTGGAACTTAAAACATGATTGGTTGATTCCTCTGTCACTTCCTAATTATGCTGATGGTTAATCTAACACGTTAGGTCCTCTCTTCAGCTCTTAAAGTTCTAATCAATAAGAGAGCTCACTAAGCTTCATCTACCTAGATACCACAAATCAAAACAATTCTTTACTGGCCAATTTTCCACTTAACATTTGAAGAATTCAAACCTTTTGTTTCCATCCAGAACTTAACACTGAAACAAGGGTAGTACTGTAACATTTATAGAGTTTATAAAACAAGCATGATTCTACAGAATGCAAATGAACTAAAAGTTACAGATATGTATTTTTTAGTTCCAGAAAACATACACCCCTCCCTGCAGGCCTGGAAGGCCCTACGGTGTACCCCTCTGAGATATTCACATTTTCAAATGATCATTCACAAAATTCAGCAACTGCCCAAATGAGTTTCAACTAGGGCTGGGCGATAAAACGATAACAATAAGTATCGCGATAAAACTTTTCCTTGATAGAGCGATAAGACAGGTTCAATACATTTTCGATATAATTCACCATTCTCACACTTCCACGTTTTAGCAAAAGCCTTGTGCCGTTTTCTACTGCAAGGAAAGCGACACTACTCTGCTGTCGCCAGGAGAGGGCGCACTTCCGAATTTTTTGACTTGATTAGAGAGGGAGGGGGCCACGAGTAAAAAAAAAGGGTCGCCAAATATACTTTAGCAACGGCTGAAACGCGGAGTTATACATTCCCTGTTTGAGTGGAGCGACCGACGATCTGTTCTCCTGTGACCGAGTGTGAGTGATGAGGTCAGTGGTGTAACTGTACTGTCCTACAGTGAACTCACCTCTTTCCATGCATCCTAACAACTTTAGCGGTGTTAAATCACGTCTACAACGCCGTGTTACAGCGCCAAACCGTCATATTTTAGTATTAGTGCATTCCTAAGCAACGAAAGTGAAAGAAAGAAGTGGGTTCATGTAAATTACAGCCCTGATTTAAACAAAAGTAAACTGAGGAAGCTGTGAGGCATTGGGAAGCGGGAGAGCGCTATCTTTCCAGGCTAGCTGTTTTTAGCTGCTGGCTAATTGAAGCAGTGCTCCATCACCCCACAGCACGGTTAATTGATGATACGGTAGATCAAACATGACACAAAAGCACCGCTTTCAGTTTAAACATACCTAAAAGGAGAACTCTGTGACTGGTGTGAGAGATTCACACGGCAGATAATGCTTCTGCACAGCGTACGTCAGATATACTGCGGTTCACCCCTTAAACTACTACGATAGCATAGAGAAATCCAGTCGTTGCTAGCTGGTGTCTGAATACTGTGATATGCTCTGACATGGATGTGGTGGGAGTGACCGCAGTGACCTACCGAACCGAGTTGACGTTGTTGAGAAACTAAAGAGTTTAGCACTGTTGTTGGCCACTTGTTTAGCATGTGTAACGGGGTAGCCGAGCGCTCGTCACCAGACAGCTAAAAATAATCTGTTTTCTTTCTTAAACAATGACTATTACAAAAATTGCAGCTGTGCTTTTCCAGCTGATAAAAACAGCTCAGAAACTTTCTCCCACTCTTCCATGACAGATTAGTGAAATGTTTGCCGAGTGTTTATCGTGATCCGGCCATAAGTGATAGTTTAAAACCACAATTAACCACCCAGGAGCAAAATCAGCCTTCAAACGTGAAAGAAATAATGATTCGACATTTACCGCGATATGTATCGATATCGAACGATATGAATTTTGTTTATCGTGATAACGTTTTCGGCCATATCGCCCAGCTCTAGTTTCAACTCAACTACAAGTTATGTGTTCTGTTAAGAGGAAACTCTTCAAAATGATAACCATACAATATGATACAGCTGTAGCAGATAGAGATTACATTGAAAAACGATGGAATACTCTTTTACCAGTGTTCTGAAAGTGTTGAGTCACAGTGCAGAAATTATGAATTACCTGTTTGTCCAGGGTTGTAGATTGGTTTATCAGTCTGAATGAATGTCAGTGGGTTGTAGGATTTAAACATAACTTTTCGTTTCTCTGTCATCTCAAAACTTTCACCTTTGACTTCCACTCTAATCTCCTGCACTGACTGACCTCCAACCTGTGGAGCCTGTAGGAATCATGTTACATGTTGAGATATTTTCCATTTTTAGACATATCAAACACTAATAACACCTAAAAGTAAAAGATGTTTTCTGACCTTAAACTGAGAGCAGCGGTGAAATTCTTCCTCCACTCTCTCCTGTAGAATTATTCTGTTCTGGTTGTCATGAACCAGATAAATGCTCATTCGCAGAGTCTCATTAGGCTTCAGAAGACTCGTACACAGTGTAGCCTCAGATCCAGACTCTATCACTGCAGGAAACGTCACCATGAAATACCTAAAGGTAAAAAGCAGTAACTGACAATTCAGAGATTTAAAGTGAAACATTAAAAGACACCACTGTACAAAAATCTGAGTAAAACTGAGTGCTCAACTAAACCTAGCAATCATTATTATTGCAAAACTGTGGACTGCGTGCCTCAGAGTACACAGAACGCCTAAGTAATCAGGACTATAAGAGGCCCAAGGCAAGAATGTATTTTGAAATTCCCCTTCCAGGTGAACTGGACCAACTCATTTCAGTATTTGTTAACTTAATCTGGTAATGCTTAATCCACAAGCGTTCAGCTGTGGTTTTACCTAAAATTTCAACACACAACAAACAATTTCCAAAACACAAGAGCTCGTAGGCTGCTAACATAACCAAAATACTGACAAAATCACTTACATTATAAACCTATAAAGCCTAAACCTCATAAAAGAGTGTGCTTACTTGACTGAAATAAAACATAGGTGAGGTTACCGCACAGACCAATGCAAAGCTGATGTTATTTTTAAATCTGTTTCTGTCTTTGGAAATAAGTAGAAAGCTGTCAGGGTATTGAGTGTCTTTTATAAGACTCCCCTGGCACATCATCTGAAAATATCTTCAAATTTAGAAACTTTAAATATTGAATGTAAGTTTAACAAGATAATGGAAATAGAAAAAAAATGAAAATCAAACAAAATGTGTGTGTGTGTGTGTGCTATGTAATCAAATGAGCCATATATACAAAATCACAGCATATAAATATTACAATATGCCACAGAAAAGGCTACTACATTTTGCACCAACAGACATCTTTTCAAGATTACTCACAGTCCTGACGTTTGTCCATACACAGAGAGAAAAAGGAAGAAGGCTAACAATAATCCCTCCTGTACAAGAAATCCACGGACCACCATGATGAAGTCTGGTCACCAACACCAGGTTAAGAAGCTTGTCTGCCTTTTTAAAAGGTCATTCAGCCCACAGGAGGTTCTGTCTAAATATTAAATATTTGGACTCATCACCTCATTAATGATTAATCCTTTTGAGCAATATATTTTAGTCACACTGAAAACTGATAGCATGAGCAAAAGCAGTGTCCAAATCAACAGAGGTGGAGCCAGCAAGGGGGTGGGAAGAGGGGGGGGGGTTTGCTGCATAACGAGGAAACCAGGTTGTCATGCCACAACACTCAAACAACCTGGCAAGAAATCATCATTGCTAAAGTGAAAGGAAGGAAAATAAACAAAAAAGAGCTCACTTTACCTGTCACTGCTTTCATTAACTCATTCACTTTTTTTCTTTGAGTCAACGAACACTGACCAAAAGAAAAGTGACCATCAAGCAAGGGGCAGAGAGCATTCAACAGATGATAAAATGACCATACATGTGAACCAGGATGAGAAAACAGAAGACAAAAAGAGAGGCAATGTGATCGTAGGTGAAAATGAAAGATTTGACAATATAAATAAAATATGTTACAACAAAATTTATCTGTCCAGCAAAAATACATTAAGATTAGTTTTTGCGCACATAGTGCGTCATGGTTTATGCACCCTATACAGCAGCCTTTCTGTGAAGCATGCTCACTTAAAAAACAATCGACCTGAATAGATAAGAAAACCTCTGGCTGTCTAAACATCTGCTAAAGGACATGATCTATTAATACGTACCAAATGGCCACGCTAACTGTGCTGCACTTAAAATTGGTAATATAAATACCAATATAAAAATCATTCAACCCACCAAAGTCATTTTTTCATGGCGCATTCTTTACACTTTTTAATCTCCAAAAAAAACATTTCCATAAGGTGTTCATAAGCTTTGACATCTCTTTAACTGTAATCTCTCTAACTGACATCTCTCTAACTGTAATCTCTCTAACTGACATCTCTCTAACTGACATCTCTCTAACTGTAATATTTAACCATTTCTGACGTGCAAACGCTGCCAGCTCATTAATGTTCCTTGGTTTCCGTACCGCCACACCCACCAAAGATTTTCACGATTAATAAAGGCTCAAATCTGAACGGGAGACGTCGGGTTAGTAAAGGTTAGCCGGAATGAACCGATCCTCTAGCAGAGCTACTAACTTAGCCTAAGCTTCCGCGTACGTGGGTTAGTTAGTTAGCTTAGCTAGCGTTAGGTTAGCTAGCTAGCTAGCAACTCTAAACAAGTGTACACACCAGTTTATTACACCAGAAATTCGGCACCGTCCCACTTTAAAAAGGCACTAAAAAGTACCTTTCACATAATTTGTGAGACCAAACAGTCATCTAAAAGAGTTCACTCGCTAGCCTGCCAACATTTTATAAAATGGCTAGCTAACTAACTAACTTTACTGTTAACAAATGATGCTTATTTTCGTTTTGACACACGAACAGTTCAACATTCACAAATTATAGGATTACGTTTGAAGAAATATTCGACTAAAAACAATTGAAAAAAACAACAATTTACTCACCAAATGCGTTTTGACACCTTCAGAAATTTCCAGAAGCGGCTCTAAGCGCGAGTTCCCGCCTCCGCGGTGAAACGTTGGGACTCGGACCTCAATACGGGTAGAATCTGCCCTCCTCAGTACGGGTGCGATCTGTCCGTATGTCTTTTTATGAAAATTGTGAACTTGCACAGTTAAATTGTGTATTTTCTTCATAATATAATGATAAAATTAAAGTTATGTACTGTTTCTTGATTTAAAGTATCTATTATGGTAAAATACTATTTTGGATTTTATAGTGTTTTACTGTTGCTATTTGATAGTTTCTCACTGTAATACAAACTTTTTTACAGCATTGTTAAGTATAGTCTCTGCAGAAGGCAGTAGGGAGGTTGACAAATGGAATAAGGCAAGAAGACTTGGAAAAATGGTCCACCACTATTAAAATGGTGAAAAAAAACCCTGACTGAGGTAGGTCTGTTATAAAGTCTATGAATAAATGTGATCAGGGTCTTTGTGGGATGGGCATAAGGTTACCTGCTGGAGCTTGTCTAGGCAACTTGGCAATACACTATATGGACGAAAGTATTGGGACACCTGTACATTACACCTACAGGAGATTTTTGACATCCCATTCTAAATCCATAGGCATTAATATGGAGTTGGTCCCCACTTTGCAGCTATAACAGCTTTCACTCTTCTGGGAAGGCTTTTGAAGTGTGTCAGTGGGAATTTTTGTCCATTCATCCAGAGCAGCATTGATGTTGGATGAAAGGGCCTGGCTTGCAATCTTCACACAGTATCACAGGCCTACCTAACCAAATGGGGACAGAACATTTATTATGCTGCATTCCTGGGATAATGAAATTTGATTTGTTTTTTTGTGAGCACTGTCACTGTATTATGGCCAATCAAAATCTGCCAAGCTACATGCTATTTTCTCAACCCTCCATTCACTGCTCAGCAACCGCTGCTATGCGCAATTGCTTGACTAGCGTTGGGGCATTGAGGTCTGTGGAAGTTTTAGAATTTAGACTCCCAGATAGTGAAGCATGATTTGTCACAGAATACATTTCCACTGCTTCAGTGTCCAGTGGTGGCGTGCTTTACATCACTCCCCCCTATGCTTGGCATTGTGCAGCTGCTCAGCCATAGAAACCCATTTTGTGAAGCTACTAATGTGCACATCTTTTGCTGATGTTGCTTCCAGAGGCAACATGGAACTCTTTATTGAGTGATTCAACAGAGGATAGGCACTGTGCACTTCAGCACTCGGCGGCCCCACTCTGTGAGTTTGCGTGATCTACCGCTTGGCGGCTAAGCTGTTGTTGCTCCTAGGTGCTTCCATTTCACAATAATAGTACTTACAGTTGACGGCGGCAGGACAGAAATTTCGCAAACTGACTTTTGGCAGAGGTGCCATGTTTAAAGTCACCGAGCTCATCAGTACAATCCATTCTACTGCTAGTGTTAACTGTAAGGCTATGTGCTTAATTTTATCCACCTATTAGCAATAGGTGTAGCTGAAACACCAGACCTCAATAACTAGAAGGGGTGTCCACATACTTTTGCCTATATAGTGTATATGTATACACATGATCAGATTAATGATTGAGTAAAGCCTTTTGGCTACACTGCAGCCTATTATCATAACATAAAATGTGCAGAAGTGGGTTTTCTATAGAGGATTTGCAAAGTGAAAATCGGAACATATTTGTAACATATTTTATGTTATAACATGTAACTTATTTTAGCACATAGATTACCCTTTAAAACGGTTTATAACAGCAGCACATATTTTGTTTGAAGGTCATATTTATTTCAATGAAAAAGAAAACAAACATCTGATTAAGATCAAATAAGATCAGGATAAAACAAGCAACCATGTCTTTTCTGTGTCTCGTACTGTGAGGCTGCAGATCTGAGAGCTCACACACAGGGGAAGGAGTACTCTGTCTCAGACTGGTCACCTGAATGAAAGAGGATGTTCAATCAATAAATGAAAGCAATACAATTCCAGAAATAGTGTAAGAATCATGTAACCCAGGGAAATCTTACTTGTTTGGTAGTAATCATAAACTTTGATCACAGCTGGTTTGAGGTTCTTGACTGGAAGCAGCTGTTTAAGATGTAGCTGATAATTCATAGGAGAATTTCTTGGGACCTGTTGAGCACAAAGCACATACCGTCCTGTAAAAGTGCTCCTATATATGTGCACAGTTTGCTGTGAAACTAGTGTTTATATGTTTTTGTGTCGCTCTGGATATGCAAAAGCGTTTTTAATTTGCTGTTCTCAAAGATGATTATCACTTACATTCATAAAGCCTACCAGAAGAATAAAATAGGAAAGTCCTAAATCAAAGTATTTATTAATCAATGATTACTGTGTATAAATGTCCACAATAACTGAGAAGTATTTAACTGTGTTCATCTCTCACCTCTTTCACATACATAATAACATGGTCATCTTTGGAATCGACTCGTTCCACAAGTGGGCGGTATTTTAGCTGAGGAAACAAGATATTTACTTCTTGGCAATGATTTATGAAACATTTGAATAGCAGATTGTTTATTAATCTTTCAAAACTACTTACATCACTGGGATCTGCTGTGAATCCTGATAAGATCTTTATATCCACTATGACCATGTTAGTGCTGCTTAATTCCCCACTATATCTGTATAGAAATGATAATAATAATAAATAAAATTTAGCCACCAGTTAGTTAGTCACCAAGTTAGAATCATATACAGTAATAACTGGTACTACAACTTAAAATAATCACTGGGCAAAGAATTCTGCAGATATCAAATGTAGCTGTGTTTAAATAAACTTACAATATATTGTTATGATTGTAATAATTTTTTCTTTGACTAAAAATGTATTTTTATTATCTGCAGTTATTCCCAGTTTCCTTATATTAGGTGTAAGTTATCATTGTCTTTTAATCAAAAAGACACTCTTACGTGACTGTGAAGTTGATGGACAGAGTGTATCCAAATGATTTTGTACAATTTCCATCAGTTTTAGCCTCGATGCTCAATGTATTGGTTTCAGTAGGAGTGGGAATATTGTAGAAAAGCGCCACCTGTATTTGAGGATAAAAGAAATTAAACCAGAGATACAGTGAATAAACAAAATGTCTCTTAAAGCTGCATTATATAGCTCATTTTTAATATTTAACCACAAAGAGATCTGCAAAAAAAGCATTTGTTCTAAAAACTGTCACTGTAGAAACTGTCACAAGAAACTGGAAATCACAGTTGTACTTTGCCTTTACTTTGTTGCCACATATGCAGCCTTCTACAAAGACTGATGACCTTGCATTGCATTTAAATGGGTCTGTATCTATTTTGCATGCAGCAAACTGATGTTGAAATTAAATAATGAGCTAAGTTTCAGCTTAAATCTGAGGGAATTACATCCAAATTAGATGAACAGTGTAGTAATTACAACCATTTGCATACATAACCCCCTCATTTTTTATTGCCTCATAATTGGATAATTGGCTGCTCAGCTGTTCCATGGCCAGTTGTGTGTTATTCATTATTCCACTTCCAAGTAAGCAGACAGAAGGTGTAGAGTTGATTTCAAGTGTGACATTTGCATTTGGAACATTTACAGTTAACAGATGCTGTTAACTGCTGTTAGGCTGAAAAATCAAAATAAACCCATGACAGCAAAAACCTTAGCTGTGGCCAAATAAATTATTTGGTATAACCACGGAAAACAGCTGTGGTGGATGACAGAAGAATTCATTTCCTAGTAAAGAAAACCCCCTACACAACAGTTGGCCAGATAAAGAACACCCTGCAGGAGGTAGGTGTGTCTGTGTTCAAGTCAATAATCAATAGAAGACTTCACCAGAGTAAATAAAGAGGGTTTACTAAAGAATGAAAATCATTGTTAAGCCTGAAAAACAGAAAGACCAAATTAAAGTTTGCCAAAAAACATTTTAAAAAGCCAGTATAGTTCTGGAAAACATCGTATGGACAGATGAGACCAAGATCATCTTGTTCCGGAATGATGGGCAGATAAGAGTATGGAGAAAGCATACTACTTGTCAAGCATGGTGGAGGTAGTGTTATGGCATGGGCATGAAATCTAAGTGTAAATCATCGATTCTGATGAGCATTTACAAAGTGTTTAAACAATGCTATATTTACAAAGCGGCCAACCTTTAATAGCAC